AGGCCTGAAAGGGTTCCAGGGATTGGCCTTCGGGGGTGGCACTGGGGGGTGCTGCCCCCCACCTCCCGCATATGCTCTACCCGGAGCAGAGGCCTGTGCTGTGCTCAGAAGCAAGAGGGTGGTGTGAGCTGTGCTAGCTGGAGGCAGGCAGGCAGCTAGCACTCCGGGGGGGGGGGAGGTGGGTGTGGCGGGGGGGGGGGGGGGTGTTCTCTCCTTGGTCCAGCACAGACACAGCTTGCAATTGGTCCTTCCTGTTCTTGCAGGGTCAGTCGGGGGGGGTTGGGGGAGGGGAGAAGGTCTCCCCAACAGCTGGTTGTGGGACAGCGGACACGCAAGCACGCATGCTAAGCAGTCCCAAGAGCCAGCGAGGGATTACTCGAGCAGCTGGGGGCGCTCAGGGCCTCAGGGATGGGGGCTGCTGCCCAGATATAGCAGCCCTGATGCGCGGTCGGTCCCAGCCGGCTGCCTGCTTCTCCACCGCCCAGGAGCCCTCTGCACAGGAAGAAGCCTGGGCGTCTGGCGCTGGAGTGTGGGGCTCCCGGCCTGTCCCTGGAGGTGTCGCTGAGCCCTTAAGTGATAGTCGCCTTCGCACCTCGGAGTTGGGAGGGCTCGGGTTCAAGTCTGAGCGGAGAAGCCTGAGTGGGCTCCGTCTGCCAACACCTTTCCCCTCCCTGGCCCGGTCTGGCGGGGAAGCGAGGTGCTGACGGAGGGGCAGGCGTCCAGGCGCGACAGAGAGCTCCGGAGCCGCAGGTACTGAAGAGCCAGGGGCAGGAGTAGGCCGAGGATGGCCCTGGCCAGGTAGCTCTCCCTCCCTGCACACCACCCCTGCTCACAGCTGCGCGGGTTCCCACCTGCCAGGTGCGGCACTGCGTGTGGCATGGCTGCTGGCTCGCTTACAGACCGCCCAAGGGCTGGTGCCGAGGGGCACTCGCGGCTGCTGATTCGGGCTTCCTGCAGCTGGAAACGCTCTTTGGCTCCTCCTGACGCAGCAGGTCCATGCCAGGAAATGCCCACGCCCCCTCCCGGGGCTCTGCAGGTCAGGCTGGATGATACAACGCTCCCTTCTGGCCTGGGGATCGATGTCTCCACCTGCCCCCTAGTGTGTATGTGCCAGGAGATCACCCCCCTGCATTGCAAACCTGGGCCCTCCCCAGCCAGGTGCCCGGTCCTGCTCTGGCTTCCCCCAGCCTTCCTGCAGCCCGGGGCCAGGCTGCACGCCTTCATCCAGCCCCCCTTGCACCTGCCGGACCGCTCATCCGCGGGGAGGGGGAGAGCAGCCTGTGGAAGGCGCCACCGGCCAACTCTCCTTAGTAACACACCAAGCGCCAGGAGCGGGAAGGAACAGAGCAGAGCTCTGCCCTATAGGAGCCAGCCCCTGGGCTGTGACCCCAAAATACCCCAGGGACTTGTCAAAGGGTGACACTTAGTGCTGAATACTTTTCTCCCTCAGTGACTAAGTTAATTGCTGCCGTGCTGAAGGTGTGAAGTGGAATATCAGGGCCAAGTATCCTCACTAGAGATGCTGTCTTTCTACATCAAATCAACCTGCCAGCCAGGCTGCGCTGGGCCTGCTGCGTCCCAGGGGCTCTCGCTGCAGGCCGGGGCTGGCTGCGTGGTTGAAGATGCGCAGTGCAGACGAGGTCGCCGCATGGTTTCGCTCGGCTGTATCCTCTCAGCTGGGCTGAGGGGATGACAAGCTCGCCTTGGCCAGCAGACTGAACTGTGTCTGACTCGAAGGGGGCCTAGACAGCGTAGGGACAGGCTGGCAATTTCTGAGCTAATCAGAACCTCACGGCTCCCAGTTCCAGACTCTTAGGAAGCTCTGAAATATTGACTTCCTTCCCTCCCTCCCTCCAGTAAATTTCACAGGGGGAGATGTGTTCCTGCTGGTTCTCTGGGTATGTGGGGGCTACGGGGTCTAGTGGACAAGGCATGTTATTTGGAAATGGGGCTCTTGCTTTCTGCCCTGGCTCGCTGTGTGGCCTTGGACACCTCCCTGGTGTGCCGAGGAGGGCTGTTTATTTCCAGCCCTTTTGGAAGCAGGGAAGGCCTGCGATCTCAGGGCAGAGTATCTCCTCTTGAGATGTTGGCCCTCTTCCGCGCACGTGAGTGGCTGGGCTGGAGCTAATAGGAGCAGATACGCCCACGTAGAAGTCCCATATTTGTGCCCCATATCTGTCATCTCCGTCCTCCAGTGCATCAACTGGAGACCAAGGCCCAGGATTGCGTCTTTCCTCTAACCTCCCTCCGCCCCGCCCTCTCTGAGCTGGTGTCACTGCTTCCAGAAATATCTGGGCTCAAGCTGCTGCCCGGGGCAGCTGGGACAGGCAGGAAAGGGATCTCCGTCTGTCTTTCCTCTCTGCGGTCCCTGCACCGCAGCGTCTGAGCACCTGCCAAGTGCTTCGCAGACACTCTGGGGAGGCAGGGAAGTATCGCCCCCATTTTACAGATGGGGAAACCAAGGCACAGATTACATAATTTGTCCGAGGTCTTTCAGGAGTCTGTGGCAAAGCTAGGACTGGAGCCAAGATCTCCCCCAAGCGCCTTAAGGATAAGGCCAAGCATCCTCCCTCTCTCTCCTGTGCCCATTGAGCTAACGCGCAGCGGTCTGGGATTGTGTGGGGACCAGTGCTGCAGCTGGGAGGTGTATCGAGACACGCTGCCCTTGGGAAGGGAGCAGAACGCCGAAGCTCTGTGGTGTCGGAGCCACACCGCCAGGCCAGAGCACAGCTCCTGCTTCTCCCTGGCCCGGAGTTTGCAAACGCTCCCGACCTGCCCACAGGTGCAGGGCTGCTGAGGGGCAGATTGAAACCCTTCTTGTAAAGGGTTAATTTATTGCGAGAGGCTGTGAGGACTGAAGGCCGGATTCCCCAGATCCCTCGCCTGGAGAAACACAAAGTCCAATAACCCAGCACCCCTGGATTCATGTCGGGGGGGATTAATTCATGCACTTGATGTTAAAGCTTGTCCGAGAGGTTTGCATGGGGGGGCCATCACTAGGGCTGGCTGGCCTCTTTAAATGGTTGCTAGGGGCCTGGCATCAAGGGCCGGTGTAGTTGCCCACAGTCACGGTCACGGAGGGAATTACACAGCCACAAAGAAATTGTTATTCTCCATAATCTGCTCTTTGGAGAGCGACTGGGGGAAACAGGCCGGCCCCAGCATGCAGCCAGTGCTGTGATCATAGAAGCGTGCTGGCTGCAAAGATCGGGGCAGGGCTCGCCTTCTGATCTGGGGGACACCACTGCTCCAGCCGCTAATCTGCTTTATCAGCTAGTTCTCTCCCGGGACACAAAGGTGTTTGCTTGTTTTAACATCTCCCAGGACTCTATTTCTCCTTTTGTGTGGTCTTTATCCCCCCGACGAGGCTTTAGCCCAGATTACAGACGGAATTAAGGCATTTGGCTAGGATGCCTCAGAACTGTGTGACACTGGATCAAGGAGCAGAAAGTAACAAAATAACTGGGGGGGCTGCCAGTGACCCCACTGGCGGGGCCCATTCTCTCGGCTTTCAAGAGCCCTCCATTGTCCTGGGAACCAAGAGGCTGTTTCAGACGGTCGCCGTGCGGCGGGGTTTCAAAAGCAGGTGCTCTAAGGTTTATTGTGTCCAGTTTGGATTAGGCCACTAGAAAGAAAAGGAGGGTTTGGCCCCTCCGAGCAGCTGGCCAGGGTCTCCCCAGCGCGGCCGAGAAGCTGCAGTTGGCTGGTGTCTTTGGCCTGTGGGGCGGGCGAAGGAAGGCCGGAGGGTCGAGCTTGAGATGAGCTAGTCCTCGTCTGGGATGTGCCAGGAGCTGCTCGGAGCTTCCGTGCGCTTGATGCAGCAGGTGGTTACTGCCGTTAGGAAAGGGATTCCCAAGTCACCGTACTCAGCAACCCCGGGTGTCTCCCTGTTCGCAGCCTGTTCACAGCCGTTCCATGTACTCCCCCCCGCTTTGGCCTATTGCTCTCCGTGGCTCTGCAGAGCTAGTGTAGCTGCTGAGCTATGGACTGGGGGTCAGGGTCCGAGAGAGGGTACAAACCAGCTGCTTTGTCGGGCTGGATTTGAGGGTGGGAAAGGCATCGTGGGGTTCCTGTTTTGCTCGTCGGGCCAGTGCAGTTTTGGGTTGCAGAGGGGCGTGGTGTGGCTGTTCCCTGCTGGATGGATCTGGGGTGACCCTCCGCCCCCCATGGAATACTTGTGTTCAGTGCTGAGTGCTGTGGGGCAGGAAGGGTTCTGAGAGATTGGAGGGAGGGCAGAGAAGATCTGGGGGCTGGAGGGAATGTGCAGCTTGTCCAAGTGCTGAGTAAGGCAGGGACTGCAAAGCAGGCTGCCATTGGCGGGGAAGTGTGAGGATCACACCTGGCCAGGAACGCGTCTGGGTAGTGCTAGGGCTGGCAGGATGGAAAGAAGACACGGAAAATGCGGGGTCAGTGTCCAGGAGCAGCTTCCTGAGACCGAGAGACCAAGGCTGGGGAAGAGTTTCCCAGCAGAGAACTAAACCATCCTAGCAGCCCTGCTGTAGGGACTGATCCGGCCCTGGTGTGGAGACGGGCTGCACAGTCCCGCTGGCCTTTCCGTCTCTGCAAGGCCTGTGATCCTTCTCCACCAGGGACCAACAGACCCAGTGGAGACACCTGAGTCCCCTGTGGCTCCCCTCCTGTCTGCTGTCTGGGGAGGCTACGCTGTGGCTTTGAGGGCTTCTGCACGCTGTTAACAGCCAGGCCTTGTCGCTGGGACAGCCCCGCTGGGTCCCATCTCCCCTCTGCCCTGACGAGGGCGAGCATGAATAGCTCCAGAGAAGGCAGGGCGGAGCCCGTGCCACCTCCGTCTCCACTCCCCCTCCGCAGAGGGGAATGGCATCGTGTTACCGGCATTGAGTCCAGGATACCTGGAGACCCTGGGACTTCAGGGGCTCTTGCTAGTCCCATGGCACTGGGGAGAGGTGCACGAACGCAGCGTGATACCACGCAGAGGCCTGGTGCTGTGCTGGGAGCAATCCCCCTCCTGTTTCTCTTTCCAGTGGGCAGCTGGCGACCTGCTTAGGGACTGATTTCCACCGAGGAGCCGGAGTCCTGGACATCGTCTATGAAACGCCGTTCACTCTCCTGTCCTGCGGCTACGACACCTACATCCGGTCCTGGGATCTGCGCATGAGCACGAGGTAAACGCGCCCTGTGGTTGGACAGCCGGGCTGGGTGCTGCTCTTGGTTACAGCTGGGCATCCCGCAGGGACAAATCCTCCGAGGGAATCGGAGGCCAGCCCCAGTCCGGCTTCCCCTGACTTCCTCTGGCCGAGGCTGAGGAGCCGGCGCTCAGCCTGGTTTCTTGCTACCCGGTGCTAGGGAGCAACCTCTGCTTTTCTTTCCCACCCCCAGGAAGTGTGTCATGGAGTGGGAGGAGCCCCACGACAGTGCCCTGTACTGCGTGAGGAGTGACGGGAATCACATGATTGCAAGTGGCTCTGCCTATTACGGCGTGGTGCGGCTCTGGGACAAACGGCAGAGCAGGTGTTTGCAGGTGAGGCGTGATGGACGGTGACATGGGGCCATGGCCTATGGGCCCAGGAGCCTCCCTTCTGTGCCGGTTTGGTATCTAACCCCTGCCTGCTGGCTTTTCAGTCTGCCTCAAGAGCAGCGCGATGACCAGAGAGCCCAGAGGTCTCGGGGTCTTTCCCCCCAGAGGTCACAGGTTCCATCTTGGCCTGAGTGGGGACCAGAAGTCGTTCCCATCCGATGGCCGTGCGCTGCCTGCGTGCGGTGAGCTACGGTCCCAAATTGCAGAAACAGTTGGCCCCGCGTGGCCTCAGAGACCAGGCCCCCTCTCGCCCTAGTGTCTGCAGAGCAAGGCAGAGGGGCACCGGCACGTGGTGGCAGGCGGAAAGCCTCTGCTGCGACAGCCCAGCTGGGCCTCCTCTCCCAGCAGAGGATTTCGGGGCTGCTGAGAGGTGTCAGTTTGATAGCGCTAAATTTGAGTTTCTTTGAGGGGGACCCCCCATGGGAACACTCACCTCTGCAGAGTCCTGTCTCCACTGTGCCAATTCCCTTTGCTAGCCACGATGGCAGCTGGCTGCCGCCTCCCTGCCGGGTATCTGACTCAGAACAGGCTGCTCCAGGTACTTGTCGGAAAAGTGATTCTCGTCTCATTCTTTGCAGAGCTTCTCTCTGTCCTCCCCCACCAGCAGCCCCGTGTACTGCCTCCGCTTCACCACCACCTACCTTTACGCCGCCCTGGCGTCTGCCCTGCACGCCCTTGACTTCACCGCCCCCTGATGCCCTGGCCAAGGGCGAAGGGCCTTCCCACACCACAGCTGCCTCTGGCCGCTCCCAGTTTGGCCGATCTGATGCTCAGCTCAGGGATTGCAGGGCGGGAGAGAGGCAAACGGCCATGGAGACTTCTCAAAGAATTCCTTAGCGGCCAGAAAGCATCTCCCTTGAGCACTGGAGGAGCCAGATTGTCTCCGACTCACCTGCCTTTTAGTTTAAATAAAGGCAAATTGTCCTTCACTCCTTTTTATTTTGTACAGTTCAGGTTGGTTTGGTTTTCTTTCCTGCGGACGCAGTGTGTGTGATGGTAACGGGTCGGCCGGGAGAGCCGCACAGACGTTCCCGTCAGCTGGGCAGCGCTGCTCCCGGGCGTCTGAGCAGTGCAGAACGAATCTAGGACTGAGTGTGCAATGCATTTGATTTGGGAGCGGGGCAGAGCCTTGAACAACCAGGAGCAGCCAACCTTGTACCTGCCCCTGCTGTCCTGACTGCTCTTTATTACGGCCTCCGAAACAGAGAACGGGAATCGATCCGGGAGCTGAAACCTCGGCAGGCTCTGGCTGAATCCTGCCAAAGCTCGGCTCTGCCTGCCGGCTAACGGGACTGGCATGCGCGGTCGGTTGGGTTGGGGCAGTTTCAGTTTGCTAAATAAAATGCTAAAGGGAAATGGAAGAAGGGTTCCTGACTCTTGCTAGCGCTGGTTCGGGACGGTGCTAATGCTGATCACGGGGCAGGAAAGGGGCTCACAGAATCCTGCCCTTGGGCCTTCATGGGGAGATGAGGCAAAAACTGATGTTGGATGTTTTGTCAAGCCCTTAATCTTCCCCTAACCTCTACAAGCCTGCTCCTGCAACCCGGAGTGGGGCAAGCAGTGCCATTGAAATGGCCAGCTCTGCTCTCTTGCACAGGGCGTGCAGAACCTGCCAGGCTGGGACATCTTCCTAAACAAAGCTTTGCCATTCACCTTCAAAGCTGGTCCCTGCTGGTCCCTGCCTGGAGCTGGATGGGGTACAGGAGAGACTTACCCTGTTACCTGCTCTGCCTTGAAGCTGTTTGGCCTCCCTGGCCTTGTGGGAACTACAGCAGCAAATCCGATTTCTCCAAAGGTAGGGCCTCATGGGCAGCTTATCAGGAGCCCGGGGCCACACCTAAGTGGTGTCAGATGGAGCAGATCACAGATGCCCTAACTGGGACTAAAGCTGCATCTTACAAAGACTACAGGTTCCAGCATGCATTGCTCTGTCTTTAAGTAGCTGGAGCACTGCATGCTGGGACCTGTCTCTGGGAGCGGCACCTCTGCATTCAAGTTGAGGGTGCTCTTGGGCTGCACTGGTCTGTACTTTTGGGGTATCCCTGACGTGAAGGAGGAGAAGCCTGCTAAGCTTCATGCTGTGATCAGCTGAGCCAAGCTCCTGTGCGAGACACCTCTCGTGGTCTCGCTGGTTTGTGATACTGTAGGTGAATAAAACTCCTCCCCTGCGGCTGCTGGTTTTCCTCATTTCTTTGATAGAAATAACGAATTCCCTGTGTACGCTTTTGTGATTGGCTACCAGGAGGAGAGGGCTCCAGCGAGCGAGCTGAAAGGACACAACCCTTCCTGCATTTCCTGCCATGCTTCCAGGCCAACAAGGCACCAATCATAACAGCACTAACTGACCGTTCTTTTCCTTACTCGCCTCGCAACATCCTCTGGGGGGGCGACCTCCTCTTTTCTCGGAGCATAAAGATGAGGCTCTGTCAGACGGTGAGGTCTTCTCTGCAAACGAGGGACCTGCTCAAACAAATTCTCTAAACTAAAAACCGTAGCTCCCCAGGAGTGGATGGGATAGAGCCCCCGATTCTGAAGGCACTTCAGGGTAAAGTGGCTGAGCTGCTAACACAGGAAATCTCATTAAAAAAACGCTCCTGTACCCAAAGGTTGGAGGCTACTAAATGGAGTTTTTCTTTTCATAACGGCACAGAGGGTGCTACTGTGAATTAAACTGGTGAGCCATACTTAGGCAAACTGGGAGTAACGGAAGTACACAACGTCCGTGTGATCATGACTGGTACAAAGTAGCATCTCTAATCTGACAGAATTCAGTTAAATAGTGGAGAAAGAACTGGGGGATCTAATTCATTTGGTCTTTCAAAAAGCCTTGCCAAAGTCCCTTGCAAGAGGCTATTAAGGAAACCATAAGTAACCAGGGGATGAGAGGTAAAGTTTTGTCCTGGATCAGAAGCCTGCCAAGACACCACCAGCAGAGTAGGAAGGGGTCACATTTCAACATGGCGGAAAGTTAACAGTGGGGTGCCCGCAAGCAGGCGGTGTTTCTCCTGTGGTGGCCTTCGCTTCTCTGTGCCATCATTGCCCATTTCTCATTGTCTTAGAATCTGGGTTGCCAGCCCTTAAGTGCACATCCCCTGCTGACTTGTCAGCCTAGTGAAGAGGAATTTTCCTGCATCGTGGCTGTGTGCCAGGGCCGAGAACGCAAACTGCCCTGTGCCACTAGCCAGCTGCAGTTGTAGGGCTGTAATTACAGCTGCCCATCCACAAACTGCTTTGCAGAGTGGGCCCTCCTCCTACCCCGGGGGACCCACAGGTGCAGCCTTGTCAGGGCTCGCACTGCTGCTCTGCGGTGGAGGGGGTGGTGACCACAGGTGACTTCTGAATGTTGACATTGTACCTAGGAAGCTCAACTGACCTCAAGCTGTATTTGTCAGTTCCCACATGCTAACAGCCACGGGCGTGGTCAGTGTCTGGATGGGGAGATGGCCAAGAAAACCCAGGCAGGAGGGGTTATAACTAATAATGCTGTCCCTGCTCTGTGTAGCTTATCACTGAAGTGGCAACAATCAGACATGCCCTGCTGGGAGAACCAGGGAGTGGCACCTTTAAGGGGGGAAGGGTCTGCCAGTAATATGGGAGTGGGCATTGTGCTCTGTTGAGGAGCTGGCAGTTGTAGATCTTGCAGACGTGAACTCTGCAGGGGTGGGCCCTGGGACTTGGGGGAGAGGGAGGTTGTTTTCATAGACTCAGAAATGTCGGGCTGGAAGGGACCTCGAGAGTCATCAGCTCTGATGTAGGACCAAGTCAGCCTAGATCTTCCTGACCGGTGCAGGGCTGACCTGGCTGGAGGCATGCACCTCAGGCTGGGGGGGGTGGCCACTAGAGGGGTGGCCGTGGTGAGCCCGCTGTCAGCTGGAGGGCACCAGGGAGGAGGTGGGGTGTGAGAAGAAGTGAACAGAGTTGTAGGTGGCGCTCTTCCCTGGGGTCCCAGCGTGACTTCAGAGGAGTTGGGAAACTGCCTGTGGGCATTTATGGTCCCCTGGTGCTACAGGAAAGAGCAGGTTTATTGACCCCACTGTGCTGGCCAAATTGCACCTTGAATAACTACAGTCACTTCTCCCTGCAACGCAAGTCACCTGCCCCATACTCCACTTCCTGGCCTCCTCCCTGTGGCTGCACAGCTCAGCGTTCTGAGGGACTCACTGGGTTCAGGCTAGGCAGTTCCTGGCACTGTTTGGAAAGGTGGTTAAGGCCCAAGATCATCTTCCTAAGTACACAGCTAAAGGGAGCGGACGCCAGGGCAATGGGGAGACAGCCGGAGCTTCCCTGGTATGACGATAGCTCCCCTGACGCAGCCAGGCAGGGGAGTCCCTGCAAAGCCTGGTCTTCCTGGCACCCTAAGGGTCTAATCCCAGCCCCCCTGACTGCTTTGGGTCAGCACTGCTGTGAGCCATATAGAAATAGTGGAGGACATTCCTCGCTCAGCAGCGTTCAGTGGGAGCAGAAAGCTGTTGGTTGCATTATTTCCCTCACTCTCCATGGCATCCCACGCTGCCAGAGGGACTGCGTAGCTCAGTGCTGGCTGGCCGAATGGGAGTGGGAGAGAAAGCAGCCCTGAGGTTTGTGTTCCCAGACCCGAGTGCGGCGTGGCCGATGGAGCCCAAGTCATAATGATTCTTGCAAACCAAGCAACTTCCCTGTGGAAATCATTTTACTAGAAAAAGCAGCAAAATAAATAGTGCACGGTTCTGCCCCAACCCCTCCGCAGCCATCGCCTACTGTGTCTTGCACTCCCCGTCCCCATCGTTAGCTGCCTTGATCTTCTTCAGCTCCTTCTGCAGCTCTTCTTCCGCAGCCAGGATCTCCTGGGGCTTCCGGTACTGCAGGGAAGAGACATGGCCGCTCAGTGCTCCCATTCAGACCGGCACTGCATGGCTAGCCCCTTCAAGCAGCTTAGTTAAGCTGAGACTGTGAGAGAAGCATCTTCATTAGCAGCTTCCCTGCCTGGCAGCATGGATCCAGGGGGACAGCAATGTGAAAGTGCCTCTTTTGCCGCCTGTCTGTACCCAACTGGTGCCTGCTGGAGCAAGGGGGCAGCACCCTGGCTAGGGACCATTGGCCCTGATTTGGGATGGGTTTTATCGTTCAGGCAGAAGGTGACAGGTTGACCTCGAGAACCCTGCATCTCCCCCTTATCCCCAAAGTGGGTACCGCCCCGGCCATGGGGAAGGAACTTCCTCGTGCACCGCAATGAGCAGCGAAGCAGGAGGGAGCCCTCGGAAGCGGCAGTCTGGAAAGTTTCAGTGTAAGCTGAATTCTTGACCGAGGTTTGTAATAGATTTTGTGTTGGTGCTGGAGGGCAGGGAGCTGGAGACCCCTGCCCAGGGCCAGCATCTCCCTGGGAGCTCCCTTGTCAACTACAGCCTAAGGAGCCGGATGCAGGGATCAGTGGAGAAATGCCCTATCCTGTGGCAGGCAGGTCAGACAAGAGCTACAGGATGGTCCAGGTGGCCTAGTTCTTCTGGAGCAGCAGAGGGCCCTGAACACTGCCTTGAGTTCACTCTTGACCAGGATCCTTTCCCAGCAGACTTTGCTGGTCGTTGGCCTTCTCAGTTTGGGACAGACAAGGAGCTGCAGCTCTAAGGGGACCATTTGGCCTCTGATGGCTGCAGGCAGCCACTCTCTCCCCGCCAGCTGGTGAGTACCTTTAGCTCCTATTCCGTTTGCCCACAGATGTCTCATTGCAGAGCTGGAACATCCTCCCATGCCCAAAGCACTGGGTGACCCTGTGTGTGAGACAGCGTGAGACCAGCCCCGCACCTGGCAGTAACACTGATGGGCCTCCCAGGAAAAAAGTGAGCTGGGAAGGGGCGTGTTCCAAGCCTTGGGGGCAGCATTGGAGAAGGCCCTTCGGTAACACCTTGTGCTCTTCAGACTGAGCTTCTCTAGGCAGAGAACATGTCCCTGCGCCCAAGGGCTGCCTAGCCATGGGCGGACTGTCAGCACACTCACTGACTCTCAAAGATACCGTACGAGCATCCGTGATTCTGCCACGCAGACCCCCTGTCGGGGCAGGTGAGCTCTGGCACTGGATCCCCTGTGACCACGGGCAAATCTCTTCTCTCGGCCTCCCTTTCCTTAGCTGTGAAACGGAGGATGTAAAGCTCAGGGCCGAGTATTCCCACACGGGCTGGAATCTCACCGTGATAATCAGGGTGGCATTGGCATAAGTGAAGCTCAGGGCAGCCGCGTCCAGGGGAAGCTGGAATCTGTCCAGGTCAGGAATGGGGAACTTCTTGTAATACCTGCACACAAGCACAAGGGAGGGGAGAGACTAAAATTCTGTCCTGCACAAAGTGCACACCAGTGAGGTGACGTCTGCTCCAACGCCCCTCAGCCAGAGCCCTCCCTGCACCTCCCTCGGGCCAAAGCCTTCAGAAGTGGCCACTGATCTGTGGTGAGGAGCCGCGCTGCAGGGGCTCAGCACTTCTGCAAATCAGACCCCAGCTGTCTGCTGTGGGGAACCCAGAAATGGAGGGATGTGAACTGAACGGACGCTCTTGAAAAGGCTCAGGAGGGGGCCCAGGCCAGACTCACTCAAGCTGCTTTTGCAAGTCCACGGTTTTGTAGCAAGAGGCGAGCTGCTACCACAGCTGCATCCTTTGAGCCAAGCGTGTCCCAGAAACTGACTTCTCCAGATCCGGCCTGAGCTGCCGAGCAGATGGAGAACGAGGGGCCGAGGCAGGCAGGGCTTTGGGCTTCCCACTGTCTCAGCGCAAGGGCTCCGAGATGGAGTTCTGCCTCCTTGGCTATCACCGGGGCATGGCCTGGCAAGGTGCACGTAGTACAGTGCATCTGCTCGGCGCAGAGGGGACAGCAGTGCTCCTAAGGGAAGGGAGGCACCCAACGCTCCTCAAGTGCAGCATTACTAGCTGGTCCATACGTCCCTTGGCGTGTCTGCTGCTCTCTCCAGGCTCAGGGAGGGGCTTGCTTCAGGACCTGTACTCATAGCCATAGAAATCCGAATGAAAAGCTCCTTGGGTCCCAACTAGCCCATCACCTGGGGCTCAGTGCAGGCTTTTGCCTTCCAACAGTCAAGTATTTGGTCACATCTAGATTTAAATGTCCCCATGGCTGGAGCTCTCATCCCCTGGGGAACTAGTCAGGTGTCAGCTCTGGTGGCTCAGGAGGGTCTCCTTACTCCTGAACCTCAAAATCACCCCTTTATTCACCCGATCTCATCCTGCCTAGTTCTCCCCTTGGCCCATCCTAAATCATTCCTCTCTTCTTGAAATAGTGGTCACAGCATCTCCACTGCTTGGCCGTCTCTTCCTTATGGGAGCCATAAACGTTCAGTTGTTTGAATCAAACTGTCCAGTCCCCCAATTGTTTCTGTTGTTTGTCTCGGAACTGCCCGTACTTTGTCAAGCTCTCTGGTGACGTGGTGCTGCTCTCGGGACACAGGATTCCAGGGGTGATCGCGCTGGCCCCCTACAAAAAGGGACTATCGGCAGCCTGCTTCTTGACACTTCTCTGTGCAGTCCCCCTCATGCTGCCATTGCTGCTACACTGCATTCCGGCTGAGGGCGTCTGGGCCAGCAAGGGGGTGGAGAAAGGGGCAGCAGCCGGCTCTGTTCTCCACTCTCGGCTGGGCAGCCAGAACCAAGAACAGCTTCACAGAGTAGCCTGGGGAGCTTTATGCTGCGTGGCAGGAGCAGAGACTTCTCCAGGGAGGGGAGGAGGTAGGTGCACATGGCCCATTAAGACACTACTAAGTCCTCGTAGCCTCACTTTCCTGCCTGAGGTAAGGCAGAGAGCGCCCCATGGGTGACAGGATGGATCACCTGATGGTCGCCTGTTCTGTTCATTCCCTCTGAAGCACCTGGCATTGGCCACTGTTGGAAGATGGAGGATACTGGGCTAGACGGATCTTTGGTCTGGCCCAGTATGGCCGGGAACTCCACTCTGGTGGATCCCGCTGCTGGGGCTTTAACCACAAGCCTCCCGTTGCGGCCTGTTGGCTGACGCTGAACCATCCTCTCTCTCTGGGTGCTGACACCCTCCATGGAGATGGTTCCATCCCCCCTCCAGCCCTTGTTGAGGTTTCAGGCTTTCGTCCTCCATCAAGGCCTGCAGCCCCATTGGTCTGTGAAACTGACATGTTTCTGGCCCCAAGGTGCCCCGAACTGACCGGAAAAGGGTTTATTTCCTACTGTCAGAGCATGAGGGATTCACCTCCATTAAGCTGGCTTTGCATGAAGCCCGGCGTCTCTCTACCTCTGCCCCAAGTGCAGCTAGTTTATTTTCCAAGTCCTGGTGAAAACAGATACAAAGGGCAAATGACTCTCCCGCACAGGAGGAATGCAAGCGGTTTGTTACCGCAGGGCTCAAACCATTCTGTGTTGTCGCGGCTGTCGGTGTTTGGGAAAGGTGGCAGACATGGATAATAAGGGAAGTGTCAAAGGTTAAACAGCAGAGATTAGATGAACACAAAGCCATGGTAAGGAAGTGTTACCGCTTAGACAAAAACTGCAGTACACAGAAAAACCCACTGTTTGAAAGGGCTTGGGAGCCATCAATGGAAACACCAGCCTTCTGCTGCCCCAGGACTAAGGAGCAGGGGAGAAGAATGGCTTTGACTGGCCTCAAACTCAAATCTGTGACAAGATCAAAGGAAACCAGATCTGCCTGGCCATCCCCCTCCTCCTTGTAACATTACCGCTACCTCTGGCTTCAAGAATTGAATCGGGTTTGGTGGGCGGGCGGAGGCGGCTTTGCGGTTTTGTTTTCAGAATTTACTTTAATGGATTTATTTTACAGCAAGAGGTTTTAGGCAAATCCCACTTGAGCAGCCTTCCCCGTGGCCAGAGGGAATGGGAGTGACTGGGCAGAAGCTACCAGCACCCTTTGCGTTGGGTGTGTGGCTCTTGCTCAGAGGCCAGCAAATGGATTTGTTAGCCCTGCTCGAGTGACTGGGATTCTCTGCCCTTGGCTCTCACCTTGTGGCAGAGGTTGGAACTGCACTCTCAGGCCACTCCTTGACTAGATGCTGGCAGAGGCTGGATGTTGCTTCAGTGAATTCATTGCTAGTCTTGTTTGAAATGGGTTTACTTGAAAAGAGAATTCTATTTACAAAAACCTTTACTGCAATGTAGTAATGCAGGACTTAGAGCCAGAGAGCCCAGACATTCAGCAGGGACTGCTCCCCAATCAGAACCTCTCCCCTTTGAACTGCTGTTCCCCTGTATGAGGAGTTAACTGAAGTGTCAAGTGCTGTGGGAACTCTTGGGCGGTTAATTTCTCTCCTGTGATGGTGCATTAACCACCTGTGGATTCATTTCCTTTGCCACTGTCTGCTTATTACTAGTCAAGCAGGGTCTGGATCCAGGATCCAGAAGAATTCATCTATCTAAGGCATTGTGCCCAACGCACCTGTCATCTGTAGGGGGCTTGATGCGTCTCAAGGAAGTCAATGATGGAGCTCCCACTGGCTACGGAGGATAGAGTCAGGCACCAGGGGCCTAGGACCAAGTGATCTATCCAAATTGTCCACAAGGGACATTAGCCTGCTCCATAGCTTGCTTCAGCTGCTGCTACTTCCAGAACTACTTCTCCTAGCTCCTCCCCGCACACGCTTGCCGTAGAGTCAGCAGGAAACAAATGAAAACTAATTTAAAAACCAAAGCACAAAACGGACAGCTGTAAAACTCTTGGCTGATCCCACTCTGGTTGGCTTGTGCTCACAGGGCAGCATGGTCAGTGTAGTTGACGTCCTTTAAGGAGAGCAATTTTCAGATCCTTATAACTTTATTTCCACAGCAAGGTTCCTCAGACATGGCCAAGGTACTTGTCATTGAGGTAACATGGCAGTTTGAAACTAAGCCCTTTCTGAGTGACCTGAAGTTCCAGCTGCAGGCGAACAACTTTCAGCTCCCTCCTTAACATGCTGCCACAATAACCCGCACACCAAACACAAATAACAATCCAGGCGCTGCCCCAGGGCTGTACTTGATCTGTATGGGCTTGGGGTGTGATTCTGATTTCTCGCTAGCTTTACAGCTGCGTAACCATACTGGCTTGAGTAGAGTCTCTCCTGCCTCTCCCTGCTGTGGGAGGAGAAGTCACCCTTTGAGAACATGTGCTGCCTGGAGCATCGCACGTTGTCTTTCCTAGTACATTGTCCTCCACAGGCTTGTGACCCTCCCAGAGCCAGAGGACCACTGAGTGCCACCAACACCAGGGAGTACTAACAGTGTTCAGCCTCTTGCGAAGTCAGGCCTTGTGACTGTCCAGTAGAACCTCCGAGTTACGAAACACCTTGGGAATGGAGGTTGTTCATAACTCGGAAACGTTCGGAACTCTGAGCAAAAGGTTCTGGTTCTTTCCAGAGTTTACAACTGAGCATTGACTTCATACAGCTTTGAAACTTCACTAAGCAGGGAAAAAATGCTGCTTTTTTTTTTTAGCAGTTTGTTTAACACAGTACTGCACTGGATTTGCCTTTTTCTTGTCTCTGCTGCTGCCTGGTTCCGTATGTCCGGTTCCAGGTGAGGGGTGTGACTGACTGGTCAGTTCGTAACGCTGGTGTTCTACTGTACAGCACCAGACACGCTGCCAGTGCTCAGCCAAGGCCTGAGCCAGAGCCCACTGCAGCGAAGGGAAGGACGCCCATTGATTTGAAGGGGAGCCGGCTCAAACCCTAGATAAGAGGTTGGACACGGCCAATTTCAGCTCCAAGGCTACTAGTTAAGTGACTGACAGGCGAGGCTCTGATGAAATCACTTCTAGGTCCTAGCAGCAGTCATCTACCGCTGCCCATTCAGTGAGGATCCTTCCCTCCAGCTTAATGAAATGGCCTGTCACTTCAGTACTCCTGTGCACAACCACTCACGCTATCCCAAGCATTTGTGAACATCCCTGTCCGCCCACCCCCTCTCTCCCCTTCCAGCTGGTGAACGAGTTTCAAGGTGAAAACGGGCAAATGTACACGCATGTGCAAACCTCTATGCATGGGCAGCAGAAATGTTGCCATTCTTGTCACTCAAACAGCTCTCCAGAGGCCAAAGGAAGGGTTGCCGCCTCTGCATAGAAACCCCTCTACAACCCAACACCTTGAGGGCGTGGGAGACAGTCACCTGAACCCTGCTCAGTGCTCCAAGCAGGTGGAACAAACCTGAGCAGCACGCTGTGGAGCCCAGGCAGAAATGATGAGCCTGGCTGTGTATGAGGCAGCTCATCAGTTTATCCCCAGAGACGTGGTTCTGTCTGAGTAACTGGCCGCTCTTCCCCCTCGCGTCCCAGTTGTGTGGATTCAGCCTACACCTCCCCAGGCTGAGAACCCCAAATGCTCAGCGCTTCCTTGGGAGCAAAGGCACCTCTGCCCCCATCCTACCGACATTATGGTTATTAAATGCAGAGGGGTGGCCATGTCCTGTTCCTAGTGCATCCCCCCGTGCCCCCCTCTCTGGGACTGCTGGGGGTACTTGGCAGAGGAGGGTTACTACCGCCACTTGTTCTCCTTTGCTTCGGAGCAGGCCTTGTTAAATGTCCCAAGTGGCGGATCGGAAGAGAAAGGAACAGTTATTTGGCAACAGCGCCACCTACAGCCAGTTACGAGGAGCTGGACTAGAAAGGCTTGGGTGCTAAGCAGGGCAATTCCAGAGTGGGTTTCTCCCCAGTAAACTCATTTCTCTCTGTCTACAGCGACAGTGTTGGGAGATGGACAGAACAAGGCAGCTGCCTCCAGCTCCTGCTAAGCAATCCCTGGAATGTCCCCCATTTGCAAGTAGGCCCTTTCGCACATGGAGGGAAAGAGAATTTCCTCCTCTCCCCATGACTGCAGGCCTGTGTCTGAACCCAGACGGTAACCGCTTTGGAGCAGAGCTGGTCTCATTCGGTGCACAAAGCACCAAGTCATTATACAGCAGGGAATTATATTTAACAAGCCAGGGGCTGCCGCAGGTATCAAGGGGTATGTCTACATGGAGGAGAGACACTTGCGCTAGCAGGCTAGAAACAGCAGCGTGGACACTGTGGCTCCAGAGGATACCTGGGCTAGCCACCCCTGCTCAGAGCCAGCGGCTCGGGTGGGCTTGAGGGCTCCAGCTGCTACATCCCCCCTGCTGCTGTTGGTGTGCTGGCTCAAGCCAAGATCATGTCTGTCTACCCGGGCTGGGGGCTCGCTCCCCATTGCTCTATGGACAGACCTAAGCTTCCCTTTATTCTGACAGCTCCTCCCTACCCATAGCAGATCCAGGCTGGCTTCGTCACTGGTTGCATTCTTTACTTCTAGATCAGAAAGTTGACTTGTTTGGGGGTAACTGAGGCACCTTTCTGCAGCTGGCTGCGTCCCCACCCCCAATCTGGGTAGTTCCAATGGCCCTTGAGTACAGTCTCCTCCTGTGGCTTCAGGTACCCTGACTTGATTAATTTGATTAGCGTCTCAATATCAAGTTACGGGGATGTATCCAGGAGAGGGAACCCCCCAGGTCAGGATAGGGCCAATTTTACATTGGTGATCTAGGAGAGGGAGCAAGCCCCAGGTTACTGACAGCTGAAGAGGCTACTGAACTGGGGAGAGTTGCGAGCAGCAGGGAGCTGGCTGGGAGGGGTCCTGGATCTGCCCCAGCTCCAGATTCTAGCTCATGGTCACTAGAGGGTTCGTTACAGTACAGAGAGGGTAGAGGAAGCCCTTCCTCAGGCAGCAGGATTGGTCAGTGGTACTTGCAGTGTCTCCATGAAGGGGAGGGGGAGCTGTGCTGGGGGAGGACTGGCCACATCCATTAGAGATGCACTCTGCAGTTTGCTCCACCATATTGGGGCACAATAAGCATTACACTTTCAAAGGTATAATGCCCCTCCTCCCCATGCAGCTTGGCCTCAGAAGAGAGATCAGTGAACCCTCTGACCCTCTGGTTATACGTGAGGTGCATTAATTGAGGGTTGCCCCAGTCTAGGGAAGAGGAAAGGAGGACCCAGGCCTGAATACCAGAGGGTGCTGCAGGACAGGACTGAGGTGCAGCAAAAGAACAGTTTGGGGAGCTTAAGAGTTGACTAGTGGTGGGGATGAGGGGGTCTGCAAAGCCATGTGTATAAAGCAGTCAAGAAATTGCTCCGGCCCCCCCACTCTCCTCCAGAGGCTGGAGAGAACATCTCCCCTGTCTGATCACCTATTCCGCCTCTAGCTCTCTCCCACACCAACCAAAACAAGCCAGGACGTTTCGCTGAAGACAGTGCTGTGCTTACTGACTTCTTGTTGGTGGTACGGACAACACAGCAGCGCTGATCCTTCTCCACAGAGACGCTGTAGACCTCTTTGGGGTAGGGTAGGTTCCGGATCCGCCACTGGAAACTGGTCTGAGTGTCCCTCCTCATGAAGATGGGCTGCAGCAAACACAGACATGTCTGATGGGGCACAGCTAGGATGAGCTCCCGGGGTTACATGCGAAGGTTACTGACTGGGGCCAGGAGTGTCAGACAGGCACTCCAGTCTGAATATGGAGCCTGTGATGAGGCACCCAGAGAGTTTCCTGCACTCTCTCCAACTGATCCCATGGCTGCACCTGCACTGCTGCTGATCAGGGTCCATGAGGGTAGGTTTCCTCTAGATCACTCTCCCACTGAGTAGGGGGGCCGGGGAGACTTATGCTGCCATTGGTACAAGGAAATCTGGCCTCAGGCTCTCCAGGAACTGCCCACTGCCTTTCCTCATGGGAAGGGCAACAGCAGCAGCGAGGGCAAAAATCCACAACTGCTGAAGTCTAGGTCTGGCTTTGCCACTAACTTGTGCTGCCCTGGGCATGTCTGCGGGCCTCTATTTCCTCAACTGTAGAATGGAGACAAGGACAGACCATCCCCCCACCCCTCCCGGGAGGCTTGACCCACCAGCATAAAGCACTGCATGTGTGTAATAGCTGCGACTGGAGCTGTCACCTTCTCAGTGCTTTACACTCACTGGCATTTCCAGATGCCCTTTCAAGCCGCTTCATGGAAGACAGACAGACTGAGGCAGCCAGCAGGGCAATAAAGGAGAGTCCTCCACTTAAGAAACCTTCAGGTCCCTTGGAAACAGCAAGGCCTTCCCTTTTCTCCCCAGTCCCCCACCTTCTGGATGCCGAAGACTTGAGTCCGAACCCAGCTGAGAAGTGTCCCGAGAGTTTGGAGTTCTACCCTGGCAGCCCTACAAATCCCCGGAGATAAGCCATAACCTCAGCCTCCTAGCCACGCACTGGTTGCAGTTCATGAAGCTGTGGGTCTAGTTACTGCTGTGAGCAGGACCACCTTACGTACACTGGAGCTGCTTTCCTTTATGAGCTCCGATTCCAGCGCCCCCCCTGGGTACATGGTCGGCTCTCCCACCTCAACCTGCCACTTGCCGCAGCTCCCCAGAGCATTCTTCTCTCGCCACTTTCTAGCTGTGGAGGAAAGAAGAAGGGTCACCCCTTTTCTTTAAGCTGCGCTTTGGTGAAAAATCCCAGCAAACACCTCAGCCAGAGCCTTGGCTACATCAGACAAGGGGGCTGATGGAGTCTCATTCCCATGACCAGCATAGTCCTTTCCCCCGAAGGGCAGATGACCGCCAGCTGCTCCCCATGCAGCTGAACTCAGCCTGTGGGGTCAGTGACTCAGGAGCTCTGCTTTGTGAGATGGTACTGAATCAATATTCTACGTTCACAACAGGTGCTGGAGAGGCTGACTTTGGAGGGAGACATAAAACCAAAAGCGGGACCACCTGAGGCGACTGCAACCAGGGTACGTGTTCCTGCCCTGCAGCCTCGGCCACTGCAAATGGCCGTGCCATTCTGCCATGCTGAATTCCGTATGGCAGCAGTGCTGCTGTTTGGGGGAGAGGTTCCCCACCGTGGCACGGACGTCAGAGCTGCCTGGGCCCAGCTCCGCTCTCATTCACAGACGGGCTGGCCCTGCTCAAGTCACTGGGCATCGCAGGCAGGTAACCCCTGGCAGAACTGATTCTGCAGCACGCCGGGGGAAAGGCTGCACCCTGGCCAACCGCCCGTCTCGCGACATATTCCTGCTGCACCAGGCTGGGGGGCGGGGGGGGGGTCATTAGTAAGGGCAACTCCGGGGCCAGCTCAGGGGCAGGGGCCAAGAGCTGAGGGGGGGAACCTCTCACTTACCCAGCAGCTGGCTGGTCTTCAGGTCGTACTCCTCAGCCATCTCCAGCCCATCCTCAAACAGGTAATGGACCTTCCTCTTCCCTACACACAACAGGGGCAAGGTGAGGCCAGACCCAGGGCCCCCTCCCCATCCCATGTGCCCTGGCCCCCCCCCCCCCCCCCCCCCCTTCCCCCATCATCCCCCATGGGCCCTGGCCCCCGCCCCTCCCCCTGACCCCCGCCCCTTCCCCATCATCCCCCATGTGCCCTGGCCCCTGCTCCTCCCCCATCATCCCTGCCTGCCCCTGGCCCCTGGCCCCCGCCCCTTCCCCATCATCCCCCATGTGCCCTGGCCCCTGCCCCTCCCCCATCATCCCTGCCTGGCCCTCCCCCATGGGCCCTGGCCCCTGCCCCTCCCCCACCATCCCTGCCTGGCCCTCCCCCATGGGCCCTGGCCCCCACCCGTCCCCCATGGGCCCTGGCCCTCCCCCTGGCCCTTCCCCATCATCCCCCATGTCCCTGCCCCTCCCCTCCCCCACCATCCCTCCTGGCCCTCCCCCATGGCCCTGCCCCTGCCCCTCCCCCACCATCCCTGCCTGGCCCTCCCCCATGGGCCCTGGCCCCCGCCCCTCCCCCACCATCTCTGCCCCTCCCCCCTGACCCCCGCCCCTTCCCCATCATCCCCCATGTGCCCTGGCCCCTGCCCCTGCCCCTCCCCCCACGCCCGGACCCCAGCGGCCTCGGCCTGCCGGGCGGGGCTGGCGATGGGCTCGGGGGGGCTGGGCCCCGCCCCGCGTGTCCGTGGCCCGAGCCCCCCCCCCGGTACCGTCTTGCAGCAGCGCGGTCTTGCGGGCCCCGCGCAGCCGCTCCAGCCAGCTCGGCCCCGCCATGGCGGCTAGGCCGCGTCCCCATGGCAACCGGCACGCTTCCGCCGGACCCGGAAGCGCCGGGCGCGCGAGGCCCCGCCCCCTCCCCGGCCTCCTCCGGGCCCGCCCGAGCAGTAAGTGGCGGGGGAGGGGCGGGGCTGATTCTTCCGGCGGGGGGGGGTCTCCCGCCTCCCCCAGGGCTGGGGACCTGGGGCCCCTTCTCTCCCCTCCCCCCGCAAGCTGGGGCCCCTCCCCCCGGTGTGGGGTATGGGGGCCCCTTCTCCCCCCGTCCCCCAGGGCTGGGGACCCTTCTCCCCCTCCCCCGCAAGCTGGGGTCCCCCCCCCCCTTCTCCCCCCCCCCCCGCAAGCTGGGGTCCCTCCCCCCGGTGTGGGGTTTGGGGGCCCTTCTCCCCCCGTCCCCCGCAAGCTGGGGTCCCTCCCCCCGGTGTGGGGTATGGGGGCCCCTTCTCTCCCCTCCCCCCTCAAGCTGGGGTCCCTCCCCCCGGTGTGGGGTATGGGGGCCCCTTCTCCCCCCGTCCCCCAGGGCTGGGGACCCTTCTCCCCCCGCAAGCTGGGGTCCCTCCCCCCGGTGTGGGGTATGGGGGCCCCTTCTCCCCCCGTCCCCCAGGGCTGGGGACCCTTCTCCCCCCTCTCCCCCCTCAAGCTGGGGTCCCTCCCCCCAGTGTGGGGTACCAGGGGTCCTTTCTCCCCTCCCCCTCCCTAGGTGTGGGGGCCCCTTGTCCGACCGTACTGGGATGTTGGGGTGGCCCCGTCCCAGTCCCACCCATCCCCACTGTGGGGTTTTGGGGCGTCACCCCTCGAGGGTGGAATTGGGCGGGGTGCAAGCAGGGGAGTGGGTGGCTCAGCCCATCGGCCTGTGCTTCCCACAGTGCTGTGGCCGTTTTTGGGGCCCTGGCGTGAGGTCCCCTAAAGGGGTCTGGTCCTTAGTAAGTGCTGAGCGCGGGACTCAGGGTTGGGACCCAGAGATAGAGGCCTCCAAATCACTGGTTGCCAGGGTGGATTTGATTTAAATCACTGGTCAGGAAGACTCGATTTAATCATGGTTTTCTATGTAAAGGTGCATTCTTGTTGGTTCTTACAACCTTAATACATATTCTTCACAACTCAGAGATCGATGGAGGTTTCGTTTTTAGAAGGTGCCCACTATACATTTTTAAACAGTATTTATTTTGAAAACTTTTCGGATGAGTTTTACAGCTATATCAGAAAATGAACGATTGTTTGGTTATTTCATTTACCAAAGGTAATTGAAGCAGATATTTATGAAGTCACTGGGAGGTGAACTATCTCCAATTCAACAGGTTAATCATTAATATTTGGAGGATTTTCTTGGAGAACATCACCAGACAGACATTTACATTGTTTTATTTAACTAAAACAACAACGCTAAGTATTCTGGATTTTTTTCTTCAACAGCAAACATATAATATTTTAACAAAACAAGCATATGTCCCTTACTTCTCACATTTATCTCCAGACTTCTCCTTGTCCAGATCTATTCCACCCCCAGCAATCTTCTATTCATTGAACTTTTTGAAACTTTCCACTTTTAGAGAGAGGTAAGGGATTGACTCTGTGTACACAAATTTGCAGAGGGATAATAGGGTTGAGATCTGTTATTTCCCACCTCTATCTATGTATTTATTTAAAAACATGTTTGCTGTTAACAAGCATGTTACCTCTGGAGACACAAATCCACAGTTTGAGAGCTGCAAAACTAAGCATCTCTGATGGTGTCTTCTGGACTGAGCACTGAGTCTCATTGGGTAGATAGAAAGATTACCCTAAATAATCTATACAGAAGCCCCTGGAACCCCATAAGATTGGGTCCCTAATCCATGAACTATTGGAACTCATTTACAAAACTTTTCTTAAACATTACATGAACATATTGTCTCATACTATAGAATTTGAATTTATAATCCCTATTCCATGATGAGATATCTTTGAGCTATAATGTATCTTAATTAAAACTATCTTTAGATAGATTGTTTTCCTCAAAAAGCATGTTATCAAAACAATTTGATTTTTTAAAAAAAAATAATTGATTTTTATCCACCCTGCTGGTTGCTTTTGAAATGCCTGCAGTGAGCTCTGATGGCCCCACCCCCATAACAGCACCTTGCTCTGCACCCTGAATTGCCTGGTTGGGATGTGGTGTGGTCCAATCTGGGATCAGTGCGGCAACCCCACTTTTAGAATTCTTGGCCCATAACGATCTCCAGGGTTTCGGGTCTGTTTGCAATCATGGTGGAAATCTCTCAAGAGTTCAAGAGGATTTTACTTCAGGCCCCAGAATGTCATTTTTTAAAGGAAGCGTCTGACAAAACTTCATAGGAACAGAAACATTTTCATGAATTAAAATTTTTAAAATGTACAGGTATTTTTTTTTAAGTTAAATCTTCCCCTACAGTGTTGAAAACCAAATACAGGGTTGTGTTGGCCTTGTATTGACACTTAGCTTGTGTTCCTGTTAGAACCAGACTGGCTGTGGGTTTATTATATCTTGCAAGCCGCTCAGGGTCAGGTTGCCTCAGTACTTGGATGAGAGATCTCTAAGCAAAACCCTGATGCTGCAGGAATTGGACCCTCTCAGAGTCCATGCAGAATCAAAGCTCCAACATAGTGCTAGTGATGCCGGAGAGTTCTGGCTTTTGGGTGGGATGAAAACTAAGGCCCTGATCACTTGTGGATGGTCATTAAAGATCACAGATGCGTAGAAATGTAGGGCTGGAAGGGACCTTGAAAGGCCATGTAGTCCAGCCCCCTGCCCTGAGGCAAGATCCAATGTTATTGTTGGGGTGTTAACTCTGGTGGTGGTGACCAAATATGAATTCAGTTAGTTACTTTATACCTTGCTAATTGTCACTTGCAGCTGAAGCTGGACACCAGGTTCTCTTTCTTTTGCTGTCCTAGGTAGTGATGGTGTCTGAGTGTTAAACAGTTGCCACATCCCACCCCAGAGGTGGCTACATTTCAGTGCTGGAGGAATCTGTTCCTCTGCTCACCTGAGAAGTGGTTATAAGGTGATTACTATATGCGGAGCTGGTAGTGATGCCTGTAGGTAATTATCTGACATGTTCCATTATAAGAACCTCTTTTCAGTGGCTTATAACTTTGCCAAACTGTAGCTGTTGAGCTGAACTTTTCCTTTATGGGTGTCTGCCTCAGGCTGAATATTTTTGGAAAGTTTCAGTAAAAACTGATCAGCTGTTTCTGAGAACTCGGTTAGGGAAACACGTTTGCCCACATGGTGGCATTCTAAACAATTCTTGCCTTTATCTTTGGTATTCAGTGAGTGGAATAAGAAAAGGAGGACTTGTGGCACCTTAGAGACTAACCAATTTATTTGAGCATGAGCTTTATTTGAGCCGATGAAGTGAGCTGTAGCTCACGAAAGCTTATGCTCAAATAAATTGGTTAGTCTCTAAGGTGCCACAAGTCCTCCTTTTCTTTTTGCGAATACAGACTAACACGGCTGTTACTCTGAAAAGTGAGTGGAATGTTAACTGCCTGCCCAGGGAGGGGACACCCTGTAATGAGAATCCATGGAGCCCAGGGGAATTGTCAAAGCCTTTCCAAAGAGGAAGAAGATGAGGGATGACTCAGAGAGGAAGGTCCCTCCAAAGGTCCTGAAAGAGGAGGAAACTGGGAGCATTGAAGGTATGTCCTGTACCCACTCCTCTCCTTTAAGAGCAGTCACACAGTCTGTCAGACCCATGTCCCTGTTTATTAACTGCAGATGTAGGGTGAGATCTGTCCTGAAGTACTATCAGGTCATTCAGTGCCAAGCAACCCTAATATCGGGGAGGGGGCAGGGCTGTGGCTAGGCAACTCTGTGTGTCAAGCCAGGGCACCCCATGGTCTCTGTCATCCTGGGGCCAGGCACTGCTGACAGTCCCAGTAATGCCATGCAAGGTATCTAACCTGTTTGGTTTGGGAAGCTGTTTCCATGTCACTGAGTCTCTGCCCTTGTGCCTCTTCTTTGTAGAATGGCTGAAGCCGGTCACAGCCTACGTGCTGCCAGCGGGCATCGGGCAGGCCAGGGCAGAGATCTTTCACAAGCAGATTGTCCAGAAGGGGGGTCGCGTCTGCAACCAGCTCTCCTCGGAGGTGACACACGTCATAGTGGCAGAAGACATGGACTGTGACCGGGCCTTTCGCCTCCTCAGACTGGCCAAGCTTCCCCTGGGGACCCAGCTGGTGAAGGCGGCCTGGCTGAGCTTCTGCATTAGAGAGCAGAAGCTGCTGGATACCACTGGATACAGCATCTTCATCCCAGACAGGTATTCAGCCCCCCGCAGCAGCTCTGTCCCTGCCCGAATTGGCTGAGATCTTGATCTTTCACCCAGAGAGCACATATGATGCCTCGCAACCCTCTTGCTGGTGGGGACAATATCATTCTCATGTCACAGATGGGGAAACTGAGGCACAGAGCGCCAAGGGGACACAATGAGTCCATAGCACAGCTGGGAATAGAACCCAAGAATCCTTATTCTTAGTCGCCTGCTGTAACTGCTAGACGCATTCCTGATTCATTAGAGATAACAAGGGCATGTTTTTAATATAACGATTAACAATTAAATACCATTTTCTGCGTATTGCAGATGGAAAGCAGAGAGCAGGCTGGCAGTTAAACGCAAGACTGGACCGGGAATGGAATAGTGGGGGGCTGCAGGTCAGGACTGAGGCATATCCACAGAGCTGTGTAGGAGGAGCCCAGGGCTGGAATAGCAAGGGCTAGACGTGGCAGGTCAGTGAGGCTTGAGGGAGCCAGGCATAGCCAGAGCAATGAATCTCTAGCTTGGGTGAGCAAAGCTAACGCTAGCTCTTTGCCCCATCCCCAAAGAAGAGAGAGGATTTCCCAGCCTGGGCTTTGGGCTGCGAAGTCTTCATGTTCCTTGCGTGTGAATCTGCTCAGCTCCATGTTGGCCCCTGGCAGGTACCTGGAGGAGGGGGATCTGCCGAAGGGTCAACAGCAGCTCCTGGGCAGTGAGACTGTCCAACCCCAGCCAGAGAAGGAAGCACTGGAGCAGAAGGCTGAAGCACAGACAGCAGCCATATTGCCTCAGGGCCCAGCCATCTCAGTACAGCGACAGGTGGAGGAGCAAAGCCTTCAAACACAGGTCAGTGTCCTCCCACACACATGCTGCATGGTTGCTCTGTTGGCTCGTGCTAGCCTAGCAAGGCTGAGGAGTGTCGGTTTCTACCCCAGCAAAAAGGGCAGCACAGTGTTTGGGGTTTTCAGTGATGTGCCAGCAATGGGTTCAGTCTAGGGTCATTGTTATTGCTTCTCTCTGCCTCTCCTGGATGCTGGAGGTGGGAAAACACCTTTTATGTGTCTGTCCCTGCAGGACCATTCCCTGCCAAACAGGTCCCAGGGCTTTGGCCAAGCTAAGCTGGAAAAACTCCACAGGGTGTTTCCCCTGCATCCTTGGGGAGACTTCCACAGCCTAAGACACCTCCCTGCTAGGAAGCTTTCTCTGATAACTTGATCCCATATTTCACCCTGACCCACTCTAACGAGTTCCCCACTCCATGGGGTTACCCCTTCAAACACCCATATAACTATAAGAGATCATATTGCTTCCCAGCACCCAATCGCTTGCACTCAGAATATACATACCAGGTTGTTAGGCTCCTTCCCCGTGAGTCACTCTCAGAGCAAGGAAGGATGATCCAGTGGTTAGAGCGCTAGCCTGGGACTTGAGACCTGGGTTCAAGTCTGTGCTCTGCCAGAGACTTCCTGCATGACCTTGGACGAGTCACTTAGCCTCTCGGCCTCAGTTCCCCAGGGTAGGGATAACACTCCTGCCCTCATGGACTGTTGATGATAAATCCATTAAAGATTGAGAGGTGTCAGGTACTATGGTAATGTGGTCAGATAATACCTTACAGAGGCAGCCTCTCCAGACCTTACGTTATCTTTTCCCCCTTTTCTGAATTCGCTCCTGTTTGTTGACACCTTTTTGGTAAGATGCTCTCCAGACAGAAACCCGGCATAGTCGTCCCAGGGCCAGCTAGAGAGTGAGCTGCTCCTCCGCACTGTGGTGTGGTGTCTCTGCCCCCAGTTACCACGGCCGGGCCTGGCACAGAACCCTGCAGCCAGTACCTAACTTGCTGTCCACTGGTTGCCTCTGTGTTAAGGTTTCTCCCTCCTTGTCCCTTAGATATATTAGCTGGTATATTTACAGGCACAATCTCCTGTGCCCATGTTTCCAATCTCTCCAGGCCCCTTCAGAGCATTCCCCTCTCTTTACTGATATTTGTGTCACTTGCTAACATAGTAATCATCACTATTAACGAACCCCACTATTAGGGACAATTGTAATATACTTAGAGATTCCATTGCAGGCCTCCTGCTTTGTGAGGAGTTTTATTGTACTGCTCACTTGGCAGCATCTGCTGTGGTTGAGATTTGATTGCAGACTTGTAACTTTTTCATAAAGTTACCTTCTGTGATTACATTTTCCAGGCCTGGTCCGTGCAGGAAAGCAGTCTTTTTAAGCATTTGAGCAAAATTTCTTGAGTCGTCTTTAGGATTAGGTTTCAGAGGAACAGCCGTGTTAGTCTGTATTCGCAAAAAGAAAAGGAGTACTTGTGGCACCTTAGAGACTAACCAATTTATTTGAGCATGAGCTTTCATGAGCTACAGCTCACTTCATCAGATGTTTACCGTGGAAACTGCAGCAATAAGCCCAGACTCAGGAGTTGCCATCTCCTGAGTCTGGGCTTATTGCTGCAGTTTCCACGGTAAACATCTGATGAAGTGAGCTGTAGCTCATGAAAGCTCATGCTCAAATAAATTGGTTAGTCTCTAAGGTGCCACAAGTACTCCTTTTCTTTAGGATTAGGTGAGGGGGAAAAAATACTTTAAAGAAAGTTCTAACCATTCTTTTAAGACACAAGCATAGCAGGAAAGGGTGAGGTTGGAATCTTAGCTTGGAAATAGCCCTCATTTAGCCATAGGCTCTTTTCTAGGTTTGGAAAAAATGTTTTTGATTTAACAAAGAGATGAGCATTTGAAAATCACAGACTGACCTAGGCTACCAGTGTGCACTTGAGGGGATGTGTGCTGTGCATTCAGGTGTGGCTAGTTAAGTTTTGCACAGGTTGCTTTAAAGAGCTTACAAGCCTTGTTGCCAACTCTGAGCTCCAGGCTTCATTCATTTTTTTTCCTAGGAAATAAAATGCAAAAAACGGTGTTAGAGAAATATTAGGGTTGCACAGTTTATGTTTTCCCACTCCCTGGCTTTTTTGTCACTTAATGTTCCAGCAACAATATCAACTCTGCCACGCTGCCTGGCATGAAATATCCAGGAACTGCAACACAGCTGGTGGATGCTTTCTGAACACTAACTTCTACATTGCCTGACTTTTTAACTGCACAACCATAATACTGCAGTAACACCGGTTTTTGCATTAATACCCACCATGTGCATCTGTGCAGTACCACTGATTAGGTGACAATGTCACCCTCTAGTGGCTGCAGCCTACAGCACATAAAGGCCATTCCACTACTGCTGGTTACACTATTATCTCACATCTGTGGAACCCCTTGCATCCGAGTCACCTCAGAAGCCCTTTACATTCTGTGTGCACACATCACTCCCCTGATATGCAGCTGCTTCTTTCCCCTGTGCTTTAGGTGTGAGCTAGGTGTGATTGGGGGTGGGGGTGTATATACAGCCATGGATCATTAGAGAACACAGGCAATTCCCACTACTGTAACAGGACTCCCGCACACACTGGAGATTACCCGCCTCCCCTAGTTAGGGTGACCAGATAGCAAGTGTGAAAAATCTGGACAGGAGGCGGGGATAATAGACACCTATATAAGAAAAAGCCCCAAATATTGGGACTGTCCCTATAAAATTGGGACATCTGGTCACCCTACCCCTAGTTCTGAGGTGACTTCCTGCCCCAGGGAATGCTGGGGTCAGTGCCAAGGAAATGTTTGGTTCCAGAGTAGCAGCAGTGTTAGTCTGTATCTGCAAAAAGAAAAGGAGGACTTGTGGCACCTTAGAGACTAACCAATTTATTAGAGCATAAGCTTTCGTGGGCTACAGCCCACTTCATCCGATGCACAGAATGGAACATATAGTAAGAAGATATATATATATATACACACACACATACAGAGAAGGTGGAAGTTTCCATACAAACTGTAAGAGGCTAATTAATTAAGATGAGCTATTATCAGCAGGAGAAAAAACTTCTGTAGTGATAATCAAGATGGCCCATTTAGACAGTTGACAAGAAGGTGTGAGGATACTTAACATGGGGAAATAGATTCAATATGTGTAAAAAGAAAGGAGTACTTGTGGCACCTTAGAGACTAACCAATTTATTTGAGCATGAGCTTTCGTGAGCTACAGCTCACTTCATCAGTGAAGCTCATGCTCAAATAAATTGGTTAGTCTCTAAGGTGCCACAAGTACTCCTTTTCTTTTTGCGAATACAGACTAACACGGCTGTTCCTCTGAAACCTGTCAATATGTGTAATGACCCAGCCACTCCCAGGCTCTATTCAAACCCAAGTTAATGGTATCTAGTTTGCATATTAATTCAAGCTCAGCAGTTTCTCCTTGAAGTCTGTTTTGAAGCTTTTCTGTTGCAGAATTGCCACCCTAAAGGAAATGTTTGAGAGAGACGGGCATTATTTCATTGCTGCTTTTCTGTTTCTCCCTGAAGAGGGGCTCTGATGACGAAGGAAGCGAAGGGGAAGAGACCAGCGTCACTCAGGGAGACCTGGAAGCACTAATTTCAGGACGTTGCCCTGAGACCTCATCGGGGCTGTCCAATGACAGCTGTACCACAGTGCCCCCTGCTGCTGGCAAGTGGGTTTGTGCTCAGTCCTCTGACAGCAAGAAAGAGAATCACAACGGGCACATCACAGAGAAGCTGGAAGTGCTGGGAAAAGCCTACACCGTACAGGGGGACAAGTGGAGGGCTCTGGGCTACTCCAAAGCCATCAATGCACTCAAGAGCTACCACAAACCAGTCACCTCTTACCAGGTAACCGGAAACCTGCTACCCTGTGAGCAGAGTGAAATCGGCAGGAGAGCTGGGAATAGGGACCAGTCCTAACTCTCAGTCCTGGGCCTTAATCACAAGGCTACCTGGTCCTCTCTCCAGACGTGTAGTTCCCTGGAGTTGGTCCCTGTCATGGGAGGCTGTGAACATGAGCAGTTCAGTCAGCCTGAATATGATTCATTGAGCATCAGTGTTATTTTCGAGACTTCAAGCTGGAGTAAGAAAATAGCCAGGGGACTGGAGCCTTGAGCTTCTGCAAGATGACAGGCCCCACTTTGGAGTAATTTCCTTCATAGAATATTATAGAATATCAGGGTTGGAAGGGACCTCAGGAGGTCATCTAGTGCAACCCTCTGCTCAAAGCAGGGCCAATCCCCAACTAAATCATCCCAGCCAGGGCTTTGTCAAGCCTGACCTTAAAAACTTCTAAGGAAGGAGATTCCACCACCTCCCTAGGTAACGCATTCCAGTGTTTCACCACCCTCCTAGTGAAAAAGTTTTTCCTAATATCCCACCTAAACCTCCCCCGCTGCAACTTGAGACCATTACTCCTTGTTCTGTCATCTGCTACCACTGAAAACAGTCTAGATCCATCCTCTTTGGAACCCCCTTTCAGGTAGTTGAAAGCAGCTATCAAATCCCCCCTCATTCTTCTCTTCTGCAGACTAAACATCCCCAGTTCCCTCAGCCTCTCCTCATAAGTCATGTGTTCCAGTCCCCTAATCATTTTTGTTGCCCTCCGCTGGACTCTTTCCAATTTTTCCACATCCTTCTTGTGGTGTGGGGCCCAAAACTGGACACAGTACTCCAGATGAGGCCTCACCAATGTCGAATAGAGGGGAACGATCACGTCCCTCCATCTGCTGGCAATGCCCCTACTTATACATCCCAAAATACCATTGACCTTCTTGGCAACAAGGGCACACTGTTGACTCATATCCAGCTTCTCGTCCACTGTCACCCCTAGGTCCTTTTCTGCAGAACTGCTGCCGAGCCATTTGGTCCCTAATCTGTAGCGGTGCATTGGATTCTTCTGTCCTCTGTATCCTATCCCTCCCCTCCAACGTATCTACCTCTCCTCCCAGTTTGTCATCTGCAAACTTGCTGAGGGTGCAATCCACACCATCTTCCAGATCATTAATGAAGATATTGAACAAAACCGGCCCCAAGACCAACCCTTGGGGGACTCCACTTGATACCGGCTGCCAACTAGACATGGAGCCATTGATCATGACTTGCTGAGCCTGGCGATGTAGCCAGCTTTCTCTCCTTCCCCCATTACTGCCTCATTCAGTTTGCAGCAGCTCAGGGAGGGGCCTTTCTCCTTCTGTTGAAGCCTCAGCTATTGGCCAGTGGCAGAGTAGGATGCACATCTGTCGTGCTGAGGCAATTGCTACGTCCGCGCTGGGGAAGTGTCCAATCAACGTTATACGGTTACACTGTGTCCTACGACGTGGCAGTTAGTCAGCCTGCCTTAAACTGGCCAAGAGGTGTGCAGAGCCCAGGCCCTGCTGCTCCTGGGCTGCCACCCACTGCTTGAGTGCTAACCTGGCTCAGAGGTGTGAACCAGTCCCCTGGACTTTCCCGTCTCTGCGCCCTGGGGCAGCTCAGCAGCTTGCCCATTAGCCAGCTGCTCTTTTGCCTTTGCCTTCAGGAAGCCTGTAAGATTCCTGGGATCGGGAAGCGAATGGCGGAGAAGATCCTGGAGATCTTGGAGAGCGGCCACCTGCGTAAGCTGGACCACATCAGCGAGAGCGTAGCAGTGCTGGAGGTCTTCTCCAACATCTGGGGAGCAGGAGTCAAGACAGCCCAGATGTGGTACCAACAGGTTATTGTCTCCTCCTTTCCAATGGAGTGTGTCTGCTCTCAGACACCGTGAGCAGAGAAGGCCTGTCGGGCCATAGCAGAGACCCCTCCTGCTATTCCTCTGCCCATGGTGTTCAGCTGGCAGGATTTGACCTGCCTGCAGAGTTTCAGCATGGCTGCTCAGAACTGTCTCTTTGCAAGCAGAGGGTTCCCCTCTTTGCTCTGTCACCCCTCGTAATGCCCTAACGCAGCTGCTGCTTAAATCCTGTCCAAGCTGCAGTGGGTGCAGGATGCAGCAGCCTGTGTGCTAAGCAATGTGTCTGGCTCTGAGCACTTGACTTCAGGCTCTATGAACTGCACTGGCTGCCTGGGTGTTTCCAGTGAGTTGAAGGTGTTGGGTTTGATCTGGAAATCGTTAAATGGCTCAAGGTCTGCGTGTGTGTGAGACCCCTCTCCCTAGGCCGTACTGCCACAGCTGAGATCACAGGAGGTGCCCAAGCAGGAGCCCCCCATTATAAAAGCGGGGGCTGATGGCAGGACATTCTCTGGGAAGGGTCTGTTACCTTGGAATTCACCACTCTACTCTGCTTTGCCAGAGCCCATATTTATTGGTCTTTAGGGCAGGTAGCAAAGTCGGTGTGTGAGGGTGGCTCTCTGGGGAGGGGTGGGGGCGAGAAGGTTTCATGGGACAGCTGTGGGGAGCCATCAGTTCTGTGGCTTGGCTGTTGGTGTATCCCAGGCTGGCCTGTGAATGTTTTGTGTGTGGCGGGGGGGAGTCTAGAACCTAGGCTAGGCCTGCAAGAGAGGCCGTCTGGGGTGTTTCATGTTGGAATCGAACAGGCTTGGTCTGGGTGCTAGACTGACACCTGCATCACAGGCTGGCCTGCGGTGACGCTGTGCTGACAAGTGGTGAGGCAGCATTCATCGTTGTGACGTCCAAGCTGCACACCTAACGGTCCTGTGCACGCTGGGGTCTCCACGGGCAGGGGGAGCCGTACAGGTAGGGTCGCTTCCCTGGGTAAGGTCTGGGCCCAGCCGCTTTGGTCACCTGAGCTGTGACACTCCCTAGACCTGCGGTGGGGGTATTGGAGGAGTGAAGTCCCTGCAGCGATTCCCTGTCTGAATGTCTCCATGTGCTCTGGGGCAGGGCTTCCGGACCCTAGACGATATCCGCACCAAGGCTCCTCTGACCAGCCAGCAGGCCATAGGGTTGAAGCACTACGAAGACTTCCTGGAGCGTATGCCACGAGAGGAGGCTAAAGAAATAGAACAGACTGTAAGTAACCCAGCTCCATGGCCATAACAGGGAATAACAGCTGGGAGCTGACACCCAAAGGTTCCCATGCTCTTGGGCCTGCAGAGCTGGGTGCTCTCAGGGGGTTCCCAGCCTGTCCCCAAGCAGAGCTGGGACTCTGGGTCCCAAGTTGGGCGAAAGTGCAGGGGCAGCAATGGAAATAAAAAGACAGAAACAAAAACGGGACCCAGACTCATTTAGAGTCTTAGAGAATCATAGAATATCAGGGTTGGAAGGGACCTCAGGAGGTCATCTAGTCCAACCCCCTGCTCAAAGCAGGACCAATCCCCAACTAAATCATCCCAGCCAGGGCTTGGTCAAGCCTGACCTTAAAAACTTCAAGGGAAGGAGATTCCACCACCTCCCTAGGTAACGCATTCCAGTGTTTCACTACCCTCCTAGTGGAAAAGTTTTTCCTAATATCCCACCTAAACCTCCCCCGCTGCAACTTGAGACCATTACTCCTTGTTTTGTCATCTGCTACCACTGAGAACAGTCTAGATCCATCCTCTTTGGAACCCCTTTTCAGGTAGTTGAAAGCAGCTATCAAATCCCCCCTCATTCTTCTCTTCCGCAGACTAAACAATCCCAGTTCCCTCAGCCTCTCCTCATAAGTCATGTGTTCCAGTCCCCTAATCATTTTTGTTGCCCTTCTCTGGACTCTTTCCAATTTTTCCACATCCTTCTTGTGGTGTGGGGCCCAAAACTGGACACAGTACTCCAGATGAGGCCTCACCAATGTCGAATAGAGGGGAACGATCACGTCCCTCCATCTGCTGGCAATGCCCCTACTTATACATCCCAAAATGCCATTGACCTTCTTGGCAACAAGGGCACACTATTGACTCATATCCAGCTTCTCGTCCACTGTAACCCCTAGGTCCTTTTCTGCAGAACTGCTGCCGAGCCATTTGGTCCCTAGTCTGTAGCGGTGCATGGGATTCTTCCGTCCTAAGTGCAGGACTCTGCACTTGTCCTTGTTGTACCTCATCAGATTTCTTTTTGCCCAATCCTCTAATTTGTCTAGGCCCCTCTGTATCCTATCCCTACCCTCCAGCGTATCTACCTCTCCTCCCAGTTTAGTGTCATCTGCAAACTTGCTGAGGGTGCAATCCATACCATCCTCCAGATCATTTATGAAGATATTGAACAAAACCGGCCCCAGGACCGACCCTTGGGGCACTCCACTTGATACCGGCTGCCAACTAGACATGGAGCCATTGATCACTACCCGTTGAGCCCGGCAATCTAGCCAACTTTCTGTCCACCTTGTCGTCCATTCATCCAGCCCATACTTCTTTAACTTGCTGGCAAGAATACTGTGGGAGACTGTGTCAAAAGCTTTGCTAAAGCCAAGGAACAACACGTCCACTGCTTTCCCCTCATCCACAGAGCCAGTTACCTCGTCATAGAAGGCAATTAGATTAATCAGGCATGACTTGCCCTTGATGAATCCATGCTGACTGTTCCTGATCATTTTCCTCTCCTCTAAGTGTTTCAGAATTGATTCCTTGAGGACCTGCTCCATGATTTTTCCAGGGACTGAGGTGAGGCTGACCGGCCTGTAGTTCCCAGGATCCTCCTCCTTCCCTTTTTTAAAGATTGGCACTACATTAGCCTTTTTCCAGTCGTCCGGGACCTCCCCCGATCACCATGAGTTTTCAAAGATAATGGCCAATGGCTCTGCAATCACATCCGCCAACTCCTTTAGCACTCTCGGATGCAGCGCATCCGGCCCCATGGACTTGTGCTCCTCCAGCTTTTCTAAATAGTCCCAAACTACTTCTTTCTCCAGTTCATGTCCTGCGTCCAGCAAAGGCGTAGGACATGTCCTGCATCAGATACCCTGCCCTGCTCAGAGGAGCTGCCAAGGGCGGCATGGTTAACTGAGTGCTTTGTCAGGGACTTCCATCCGAGGATCTCAAAAGTGCCTACTTCCCCACCCCACCCCCATGAGGATTCATAGATTCATAGATTCATAGAAGGTTAGGGTTGGAAGGGACCTCAGGAGGTCATCTAGTCCAACCCCCTGCTTGAAGCAGGACCAATCCCCAGTTTTTGCCCCAGATCCCTAAATGGCCCCCTCAAGTATTGAACTCACAACCCTGGGTTTAGCAGGCCAATGCTCAAACCAATCACCCACCCCCCCTTTTCCCTGCTTAATGCAGATGCAGATCTGAGGCACAGAGCAGTTCAGTGTCATGCCCCTTTCCGTGTGGTGAAGCTGTTTGATTTGCAGTGGGTCTGGGTTCTGCCTGGTGCTGAGCACAGTCCAACAGCAACCGCCAGGCCAGCTGGAGTCTGGTTTTCCGCCCTGACAATCTGCACCGTGGAGCAATGGGAGCTGGGAACGTTCCCTGCCATGGCAGTTTAGACTGCAGCAGGCCTGGATTGTGGGTGCTGGTTTGTGATTCAAAGGGATCTCTGTGGTTGAAATCCCTGGCGCTGGTAATCCAGGGTGGCAAGAGCTGGTGAAGTGGCCCTTTACCAACAGAGCTGGTCTGTCTGTGTGTGTACAGGTCTGTCCCTGGCACTAATGCCTCCTGTAACTTATGAAGGGGGCAATTTGCACGTTACCCTCCGGGGCTGGGAATAGTCTCCAGCGCCTGTTCTCTGTTGCTGATCTCTCACGGAACCAGCTGCCATCACCCAGGTCCTCCTGAGCCATGCAAATCATTGTACCCATTCCTTGGCACTTCTTCTGCAAAGGATTCTGGGAGTGCCTCATGGGGGGCAGCCATTGCTGGTCATCAGGCCGGGGTCAGCATAATTGGATGAAAAATCCTCGTATGAGCGAAATGGGCTGTATCTGCCCCTTCCCACCCCGCAGAATGTTACTCTGCATCAAGGCCTTACCTCGCCCTTGCCGCCTGGATGCTGGCTCAGCCTGGGGGCACGCTTGGTCCCAGGTGTGTAAAGCCACCCAGAATTCCCAATCTGGCCCTGCACTAGCAGAGAGCAGGGGAGAGCTCGTTCTGTCATTGCTCCCTCCTGCTCTGTGATCACCATGGAAGCAGCGGCCAGTGCAACGCTGTCACTCAGCCACGGGGCCTGGCCGCGAAGAATACGCCCCCACCGGTGCTGCCATCCCCACTGCGGGATTAGAGCTATTTCAGGAGCGAGCCGTCTCTTTCCCAAGCCCGCTAGGGTGTAACACTGGCCCTTAGGGAGGAGGGGTGGGGCTATTGTTGGTTTGAGGGGATTACGCGTCTCCCCCCCACCTGGGTCTGGGCCCCAGGAGACAGACAGGAGAATGACGGGATTAGCCACCGTCCCTGCTGCCTCTCACACCAAGATCTGAGGAGCTTTCAGACTCCAGCCGGGTCTTGTGGTTCTCTAGAAATCTTCATTTGAGGCAAGAAAGGGAGCAGGGGAGGGGTCGATCTGCATGAGAAAAGCGGCCTGGCTTCTCAGATCACCTCTGGGGCAAAGGTTAATGGGTTTCTCTCTCCCTAATGAAGGATGATCCTGGAGACTGACTCGGGACAGCTGAGATTGACACCCCCCTTCGAGCCCCAGCTTGCTTTCCCTGCCCCTGCCATTGTGTTCTGGACAGGCTGGGATTGTCTCTTAGCCAGAGCAGAGGGCAGAGCTGGTGTTGGAATGATTTGTGGCTGTCAGAGTGAATGGCACAGTAATACCGTAATAGCCCTTTGCACCGCTCCAGCATTTCCGGAATGAAGCCATCAGAAATGGCTGGCTCGTACTGCCAGGTTCCACCCCAGAGGTGGCTGCATTTCAGCGCACAGACAAAGCAATCCCAACTTCTGTGCTCTGTAAGGATCTCTGGGATCCTTTGGGATGGGAGGCCCTGTAGTGATCCGTGCGTGGCTATAAATAAGTGGCACTTTAATGGCAAATGTGTCTAATATCATTAGATTGCCAGTTTTGCCAAGCCAGAGACCCATTCCTCTGGAGCCCTGCGAGGTAGGGGCCAGGCTGTGCACTTGGCTAGCAGGCCTGGAGAGGGACGTGCATTAAATCTACACGCACAGCGCAGCAGTTTGGTGGGAAGCCCTGCTGGACATTCTGGCCTTTGGCCTGTTTCTGGGCCTTGTCTCTTTCCTCGTTGTTTATCACTTAGCCAGGGGCTGGGGCTGTCCCTGGGGCTGTGACTGCTTCTCCGGCCTGTGAGTTGCTGCTGAACTCTGCCGGCTCTGTCCTCAGTTGCTCTCCAGGGCTTTTGTTCAGCGCAGACCCGCGGTAGCAGACCCAGTCAGCCACGGGGAAATGGGTGGAAGCCGAGCTGAAGGCCTGCTGTGGCTCCATTAATTATCTGTAGGCTAATGGGGTCCCCACCACCCATACCCTGCCTTTGCTTCCCCCCCTCTCTGCATTCTGCTGCTAAGGTCCCCCATGAACTCTGATCCATCCCGTCCCCCTCAAAGGGGTTGGCAGCCCAAACTCCGACTCACTGAGACCGCCACGTGACTGCAGGCCACGTTTTCTCTGCCGTTTTTGGGTCTATCTACGCGGCAGTTCCCAGCTGCTGCGCGGACGTACCCTGAATCACCCGGTGTGGAGGCAGGTGGCCTCTGAAGGGCGAGTGGCTATGCTGTGTTGCGTAGGCAGAGCGGAGCTGAACAGAAGGCGGTGGTGCCTTTTACAGGTTCGGTGCAGGCACCGGGCTTTGGCCAGCAGGTGGTGCTGTTTGTGTGGGGGAGCCATGGAGTCTGGGCCAGGGCATTAGGAGGCGAGCGCTAGTCTCTAGTTCCTGATCCCTTTCGCGTGACTCTTCCCTAAGGTGCGAGAAGCAGCCCAGTCCCTGAACCCTGGGCTGGTGTGCATGGCGTGCGGCTCGTACCGACGGGGGAAGGCCACCTGCGGCGATGTGGACGTTTTGGTTACCCACCCTGATGGGCAGTCTCACCGCGGCATCTTCGGCAAGCTGCTTGACAGTCTCCGGCAGAGCGGTATGTAGGTGCTTGCAGCCAGGAGGCTGGCTGGCTCTTTCCGAGATGGGAGGCGAAGGGGTTTGTGTCAGGGTGAGCAGCTGGCGCGTGGCACTTGCCCTGCCTGAGGATCGGACACTGAAGGTCTGAATCCAGGATGGTCTGTTGCCTTGGGGGTCAGGAGGACTTTCCCTGTGGGTGGGTGTCCCATAGTACCTGCTTCAGGGGTCTTCCGCGGCAGCATCTGGTCCTGGCCCCTGTCTGAGCCAGGATGTTGGGCTCGCTGGACCCCAGCTGGTCCTAGGGTCATGTGAAGGGGGGCCTGGGACAGAGCTCGGGAAGCTGGCCAGGTTGGTGCTGTGGCGGGGGCGGCTTCCAGCAGGATCCTCGTCGCTAGCGTTGTAGAAAGGCGGCCAAGCGCTGGTGCTCCCGGTGCAATGGGTGCAGCTTGGTGAGGGCCCCCGCTGCACCCAGGGGCAGTGCACAGGCACCCCCTTTAGGAGGTGCCCAGGGACCCGTGCAGTGGATTATGGGATGCTTCAGCAGGAGCCAGGGAAGAGGGTGGGGTCACAGCCCGGCCCCTCCTCTCACGCTGCTCCTTTGGCAGGTTTCCTCACCGATGACCTGGTGAGACAAGAAGACAGCGGCAACCAGAAGAAGTACTTGGGCGTGTGCCGGCTGCCTGGGCCGGGCCAGCGCCACCGACGCCTCGACATCATCGTGGTGCCCCACTGCGAGTTCGCCTGCGCCCTCCTGTACTTCACCGGCTCGGCCCACTTCAACCGCTCCATGCGAGCGCTGGCCAAGACCAAGGGCATGAGCCTGTCGGAGCATGCACTCCACGCCGCCGTGGTGCGCGCCCCCGGCGGCCGCAAGATGGGGCCCGGCCTTGTCCTGCCCACCCCCACTGAGAGGGACGTCTTCACGCTGCTGGGGCTGCCCTACCGGGAGCCTGCCGAGCGGGACTGGTGATGGGGCTGGGACCAACCCTATCCTTCCTGCCCTCCAGGGTGTCATGGGGGAGCCCACCAGCTGCCCGATGAGTTCTGCAGGCACCAGCGCCCTGGCGGGGAAGGGGGGTTCCCTGCCAGACACTGAAGGGGGACACTCCTTAATCTCATATCACCGGGCTGCTCCGGGCTCGCTCTGAGGTGGCCCTGGTGGACAGTGGCTGCTGTTGCTGCTTAGTGGCACTTTGTGACTGTCCAGCCAGGCCTGGGAGTTGGGGTGTCACCAGCTCTGGAATGTAGTTCAGTGCACCTCCGATCCCAGGAGCCCAATAGTTACACATCAGCAGACGTAGCTCCGTAGAAACGCACGAGCTCACCAGACCTCACAGCGTGGGCATGCTGTGCCTTCCTCCCATATGGCGGATCGCTCATCTCCCCCTCCCGTGTTTTCTCCAGAAGGTCTCCAGTGCCTCGCTCTGATGATGTAGATGGTGGCTTGGGAAAACAGTGGATGTATTGTTTCTTGACTTTAGCAAAGCTTTTGACACGGTCTCCCACAGTATTCTTGTCAGCAAGTTAAGGAAGTATGGGCTGGATGAATGCACTACAAGGTGGGTAGAAAGCTGGCTAGATTGTCGGGCTCAACGGGTAGTTATCAATGGCTCCATGTCTAGTTGGCAGCCGGTATCAAGTGGAGTGCCCCAAGGGTCGGTCCTGGGGCCGGTTTTGTTCAATATCTTCATAAATGATCTGGAGGATGGTGTGGATTGCACTCTCAGCAAATTTGCGGATGATACTAAACTGGGAGGAGTGGTAGATACGCTGGAGGGGAGGGATAGGATACAGAAGGACCTAGACAAATTGGAGGATTGGGCCAAAAGAAATCTGATGAGGTTCAATAAGGATAAGTGCAGGGTCCTGCACTTAGGACGGAAGAACCCAATGCACAGCTACAGACTAGGGACCGAATGGCTAGGCAGCAGTTCTGCGGAAAAGGACCTAGGGGTGACAGTGGACGAGAAGCTGGATATGAGTCAGCAGTGTGCCCTTGTTGCCAAGAAGGCCAATGGCATTTTGGGATGTATAAGTAGGGGCATAGCGAGCAGATCGAGGGACGTGATCGTTCCCCTCTATTCGACATTGGTGAGGCCTCATCTGGAGTACTGTGTCCAGTTTTGGGCCCCACACTTCAAGAAGGATGTGGATAAATTGGAGAGAGTCCAGCGAAGGGCAACAAAAATGATTAGGGGTCTGGAACACATGAGTTATGAGGAGAGGCTGAGGGAGCTGGGATTGTTTAGCCTGCAGAAGAGAAGAATGAGGGGGGATTTGATAGCTGCTTTCAACTACCTGAAAGGGGGCTCCAAAGAGGATGGCTCTAGACTGTTCTCAATGGTAGCAGATGACAGAACGAGGAGTAATGGTCTCAAGTTGCATTGGGGGAGGTTTAGATTGGATATTAGGAAAAACTTTTTCACTAAGAGGGTGGTGAAACACTGGAATGCGTTACCTAGGGAGGTGGTAGAATCTCCTTCCGTAGAGGTTTTTAAGGTCAGGCTTGACAAGGCCCTGGCTGGGATGATTTAACTGGGAATTGGTCCTGCTTCGAGCAGGAGGTTGGACTAGATGACCTTCTGGGGTCCCTTCCAACCCTGATATTCTATGATTCTATGATTCTATTTGTGACCCACCTGCTGATTTCTCTCCAGCGGCGCCCGGAGAGTTGGCGTGGATGGGAAAGAGACTGAGCAACAATGCTGCCTGGCAGGCCCTGGGGCACTAACCCAGACATGCGCACTGACTTCCCGCCGGGCTCTTTGGTACAGCTGCTGTCTCCTACCCGTCAGTCGGGGGTCTGCTCCCACCCACAGTGGGCTGGTGGAGGCTGATCGGTGCCCCTTGTGCTGTGCTCATTGAAAATCCAGAATGGGGCTGCAAGTGGAACGCTGCTGTTACCGATTGCAAGGCCGGAAGGAACCACTGTGATCATCTAGTCTGACCTTCTGCATGGCCGGCCAGAAACCTGCCCCCCGATACCCCTAGCTCAGAGCTTCGGAGAACACAGCCTGGCTTGATTTAAAAACTCCGTGGTGGAGAATCTGCCACGACCCTGGGAAATTGGGTTCCTGGAAAGGAAGTACAATAAAATCCACACGCTCTCCTCCTTTGCTGGTGTCCGTTAGTTCATTCTATTCTGCTCTGTCCATGTTCTTATCCTGCCCTCCTCCCAGTGACAGCTCAGCACCCTTGGCTGGCGTCAGGCACCTGGGCTTTCTCCGGCTGGAGTGGAGCAGAGCTGCTGTCCGGAGCCCTTTCCAGTACAGAGCCCAGAGCATCAGCTCTCATCTGCTTCTGCTCAGCACCTGCCTCAGCCCTTCCCAGACCAGGGCGCTCGGCTCCCCTCTTGCCGCTTGCCAGTGTTCGGGCTATAGGGGCGTGAGGCAACGGGACCAGGGTCAGTGCCTTGTCACTTGTAGGTCACTGATTTCAACCTGTCCCAGCAGGTCACCTGCGCCTTCCCCTGGCCAGGGCAGAGCGAGTCCTCATTGTGTCCTGGGTAACTGGTGGCCGTGTGGCTGTGATTTGGGGCAGGATGAGTAGAGGCGTGGTGCGGAGCAGAGAGGGAGGCATTTCTACTGCCCTAACTCTTTCCGGGCCAGGCCCCTCCGCCCTGCAGTGGCCGGAGTTGAGAGTGGCAATGAAAACGGGGGGCCTGCGAGGACAGGTGGAACTGCTGAGTCTGGCTTGGCCGAGCAATGGCAGAGACAGAAGAGCGTCGGTGTGTTTCAAAGGAGCAAGGATGGAGAGCGACCGTTGAGGGGCTCCAGGGGTGTAGCCAGGGGGCGGGAGTGGGGTTGGAAAAAGGAAGGAGAAAGAAGCCAACCGGCAAGATCAGCTTCCCGTCCCCCCCTCCCCGGGGGATCTGTGGGGCTGTGGAGACCCGTCCCTTGGGGGACATGAAATTAGACTGGACAAGGCCCTGGGCAATGCCCTCTCCGCTCACTCTGTCCCGTCTCTAACGGCATCCCCCGACTGGGCCAGCACTGCCTGACCGGGCTGCTCACTGCGAGAATGCCCCCTCCGCAGCACTGGGGAGACCCCTGGGCAGTGTGTGGGGGGGTAAATTCCCACTCTGCACCTGCCCTGGATTTTGTGCCCTTGAGGTATTCGCTGACTGGGAATGAGAGATGGAGCTGGGGACCCCCCATTCTCTCCCTTTGTCAGTCCCTCTGCAGAGGGGACCAGAGACACAATTCACACCCAGGTGCCAACCAGAGGCTGCGGCTCATCAAAGAGCCCAGCCTTGGAGTTACAAGGGCTTTTACGAGCTGGTGACAAAAGGCCGAGAAGCCTGGAGCCGGGGTGATGTTGCTGCTCTTCAAGCAGCCAGAGCTTGATGGGGGCCACTTCTCCCAGCCCCCAGAAAGAGCCCGGCCTCCCCAGCCCAGCCCCTTTTGTCATGGATTCTGTCCCGGGGAGGGGCGTCCAGGCGCCCCTGCAGATCCAGCCCCTGAGAAAATTCGCACCGCAGGATCGCATGTCGTTGCCGAAGTCATTAGCCTCGTTGTAATATCATCTGTGCATGGGCCTGCCCCTCCCTGGCCTGGCAGCGCCCCCACCCCAGGGTTAGAAATTAACCGGCACAAAAAGAAAGGAAGCTTTTATCTGTGCAAGGGCACCCCCGGGGGCAGGCCCACAAGGAGGGGCAAAGCGAGGGGGTCAACAGGGGCAGATCGGCCCCGAGACTTGCCTGGCCAAAGTGGGGCCCGATGTGCGGAGGTGAGTGCCTGGCCCGGCCGGCGCCTTCTCCTGGGTGGCAGGCGCTCAGCACCGCTGCAGGTCAGGCCAGGGGCTCTGGAGCAGTCGCCCTGGGGAGCGCGGTGTATGGGACGCAGCCGGCTTTATTCTGTGCTCGTCCGGCTCAGTGTGGGGCTGCTGAGCTAACGCTTACCCGGCCCTGGATGGCCCCATCCTGGCAGAGGGAAGGAGGCGTGGGTCCCATCCCTCTAGTCTGTGGCTTGAGAGCCAGGTCCCTCGCCTTGTGTTAGCCTGGCAGTTCTTCGGGGCAGGGGCTGCGGCTGTCTGCTGCCTACAGGACACTAGCCATGGGGGGTGAGAGCGGGGGACATGGGCAGAGTGCGTCCCATGGGTCCCAGCCAGCTCTCGGCAGGCCTCATGCAGGCGCTCCCGCGTTGGGAGCGACGACTCGGCCCGTGCGTGCCGGGCTGGCCGGTGCGTTGCCCTCTCCCCCGGGGGGTCCGGTGGCGTTGTCCTCCCCTCCCCTGGAACGGTCAGTGGTGGGCTGCGTCTACGGGCGAGGGGTGGTCACGGACCGTGCCTGGGTGACGAGCGGTGTGGCCATGGCAGCCCGACCGAACCGTGTCAAGGGACGTGCCCACGGCTCAGCCGAGCCTCCCCTGCTGCCACCCCGGCTACGCTGCCATTGGTACCCGCGGAGCTCGGTGTGCGAATGCTGGAACCGCCCCCCAGCTCCTTGTGTGGATGTAGCCGCCGAACCCCCCCGGAGCCCCAGGTGTTAGCGGTGGAGGCCCCCCCGCCCCTGTGTCTGTAACTGGGAGGTGGGCAGGGGACCTGGGAAATGGGTGCATGTATCTGCCGAGATGGGCCCGTCCGGCCCGGGGAAGGTGCCTGCTCTCCTCTCAGAGCAGAGACCGCGTGTCCCATTTGGTGGCGTGCCCAGCGTGCCCAGCCCCGCCTGGCGCAGCTCCCAGCCCACGCTGTCCCTGGGCGCTGTCCCTGGGCGCTCTCCTGCCAGGGCCAGATTAGCAGCACCCCGCCCCTGGGCTCCCGGGAAGCCAGCCCCACGGGAGCCGCGGTGGGGTGGGCCTGGAAGGCTCTGGGTGCTCCGAGCTGTACCCAGCTAGGCCTGGGAGGACTCGGTTGCCCATTCTGGGTGGGACAGATTCGCTCTGCCCCTTCGGGGTGGGGGAGAAGCTGCCACAGCTCCCTGGGCTGCGAGTCACCCTGCTGAGCACCACCCTCACCCCTGCGACTGCCCCGCAGCCGGGGAAGCGCCAGCCGCTCTCCTTGCTGAGAGGCAGGATCCAGCGCAAGGGAGTGGCACGGCTACGGGGGATGTACAAGGAACCTGAGCGAGGTGCCCTGGGCCGGAGAAGCAGGGGGCTGCGGGTCGGGATGGAGGGGCACCGGCAGAGCTGCCCCGTCAACTCTTCACGCTCCCGGGTGTTCGTTCACACCCATGGGGAAAGCCCAGCCTCTCCCACGACTCCCCTCAAGGAGCTGAACTGAGTCTGAGATGAGGCCAGAAGCCCCCGCAGTGTCGGAGCCGGCCCGTTAGCCCTTCCCCTCCCCGCGTGGGGCTGCTCGGCTCCCGGCGAGGCTGCGAGTTGCGACACGTAGGCCGAGCGCATGCTGGCTGCTCGGCTCCGGCTCGGCTGGTGCTTGTGAGCGGGGGCAGGAGCGGGAAGCCAGGGCGGCGATCGATGGCTGGGAGTGGGTAAGCTGCACGGCTGCGCCCTCTTCCCATTGCTGGTGGGGGAGGCCCAGGGCCCCCTGGCCCAGCACAGGGACCTGCCAGAGCTTTGGATGGGCAGATCTGAGCCCCCTGGCTCCCGGCGCCCAGAGAGGGAGTGGTTGGGGCACGCAGCTGGCCGAGGTACAGTCCAGAAAGCAGCTGGCTCCGCGGCACTCATGTGGGGGGTTCGGCTGCCCAGGAGGGAGCCCCCCAGTGGCAGGGTCCCCCAGGCCAGGAGGGCTGAGCCAAGCTGCCTCTCCTTGGGCTTTGCAAACCTCCCTGCCGTTCCTCCCACCCCGCTTCGGTCTTGTCTCCGTTGAATGTTTCCCGGGACGGTGGGAGCCCCTGGGGCTGGCTCGAGGGGGCCGTACGCCCAGCGTAGCGACTGCAGCAGCTTTGTCCGTCTTCGTTCCGCTCCTTTCTCCCCCAGCAGCAGGATCTGATCCAAGCTGCCCAGCCCAGCCGTCTGCCTGGGGCTGTGATCGGGTGAGGGGTGCTGACCCGGCAGGTCCTCCTGGTTCCCTGCGGGGGACTAGCCCCCGGTCATTGGGGTGACTCCGGGCACGAGGACAGCCGGCGCTCTGTGCCCAGCGCTTTGGGCCACTCCATGCGATGCTGGCGCCGGGGCCCGTTCCGAGTTTGCTGTAACCTCGCTAATGAGTCTGTCCCGCCCTGGGCCAATCTCACACCTCGCTCCTCGTTGACTCCCCGCTTCACCCCCGGGGCGGCTGTGCGGCGTGCAGGGAGGAGGATTTCAGCCCGTCCACCCCCTGGGACCAGAAGAGCCAGGCAACGTCGCCTGAGTTCACTTTCTGGGCCGGACCCCTCTGGGAGAAGACACCAACCTGCTAGAGAGGCGATGCTCACAGCCTTTCTGGGCCCCTGTCGTGCCACGGGGGCGGTCTGGGCAGAAACAGGCCTGGGCTCCCAACCCTGCTGAGGCATTGCTAAAGGGTCCGTCACCTTGCTCTCTGGGCTGCTGCCGCAGAAGCTGAGCTCAAAACTCGTCTGTGTCGTTGCTTCATAGAGGTCGAGAGGTCTGGATCCCCCTTTCCCAGACGCCCCCGGACAATGACCCTGCGGTTCCGGGTGTTCTGAACCCACCCCCGGTTCGGTGGCTGGTGCCGGTCTCTGGTGGAAAGGAGTGTTCTGGGCCGAGGTTGTGCGAGGGGCCGGGAGAGGTGAGATCCTCCGGGAAGCCCCTTCTGGAGTCAGGATCACGGTTGGGCAGCAGACGTGATGCTCACGTCGCTGTGGGTTTGGTGCCGAAAACCACCGGAGCACCAGTCCCGGCCTCTGCCAACCCCAGGGGGGCACTAACCCATGAGGACCCCATCCCACTACCGGTGGAGCTATCGGCAAACCGACCCCGTCCACCTGACACTGCCCACGCAGCCGCCCTGGGCCCTTAACAAGCCGTGGGCTGGTGCTGGGCACACAGCCAGGGCAGCTGGCAAAGCCCAGCCTCCGGAGTTGGCTGCACATGCGTATGGGAGGGAGCTGCTTTCGCTTTCCATCTGACTGGGGCTTGCTCTGGCTGGCCTTGGTTGGCACCGATGTCCCACAGCTGGTTAGATCCCCTGGGACGGGCGGCTTCCCCAGCTTGGAGTTCGTTGTGGGTTGGACAGGCCACTGCGGGTCAGGCTCTGTGGGGCGGCGTCCAGCCAGGGCTGCTCGTCTAGGGTCTGGCAGCTGCGCTTCCTCCCCTCTCCGTCTCGCTGTGGCTGTTCCGTGGCAGGGTGGAGAGGAAGGAAGCTGGGGTGGCTGTCGCAGAGTCGGTGCGCTCGGGCTTGGGCTGCGGAACGTAGGCCGGAGGATCTGAGGCCAAGGTAACGGGCCTTGCCCGGGTGGGGGTTTCATGCAGGCCCTTGGATCTGTGCGGCAGGCTCCGGCACCAGAGTTTGGGGGTGGAGGGTGGGGTAGGGGGGTTGGATCTGGGGCTGTGCGCTTGGGTGGGAAAACAGCAAAGTGCTGTCTCTAGGTGTGGGGGAGAATGTGGCAATAAGCCACCCAGGGTGCTGTGCAGCCACTGCCCTCTGCTGGATGGAGCTGGAGCCACTGTGCTGTGTGTCATTGGCCATGTACTGCCAACAGCTGATGGGGATTCTCTTTGGGATCGGGGCCTGTGCAGGAGGGGATCAGAGTTCTGATGGGGCTCTGCTCGGCAGCCTGGGGTACTGGGGTGGTCACATTGGCACTGATGGGGTGTTCAGGGGCTGATAGTGATCCTGGGTAACCGTGCAGGGGAAGGGGCAGTGAGGCTCTGGTGCAGCCGGTCTGGGGCGTGGGGCTTGGATTCGGATGCTTCTCTGAACACTTGGTTGTGAGGATAGGCACCGTGTGTGTGCGGAGGGCGGAGGGGGGGGGGCATTCTCAGGCACATCCCATCAGGCTGGAACCAGAGCCAGAGGAGCCTTAGGCAGGGTCCCATCTAGGCCTTCTGGAAAAGGGGCCTGAGCTGGGGAGTGGCGGGGCATTGACAGGGCACTGCTGCCAGGGAGCTCACAGCGGGTGGTTGGATCGGGCTTGGGCCCTGCTCTGGTGGGCAGGATTGAGGCCTTGCTCATGCCAGGCCTAGAGCCCCATCTGTGCTGGCTGAGGGAGCGTACAGGGTGCAGAGCACCCGCCCCTCAGGATCCGTCTCCCACACTGACACTCCCCTTTCTCTGCAGCTGACCCCCGGATTGGTGCCCAGCCGTGAGCGTGTGTCCGTGCGGGGCTCGTGGGGCAGATCCCGGGCGCCATTGAGGTTGGGGAGAATCCAGTAAGTTCCTGAGTGGGGAAAACTCTGAGAACAGAGTGAGCGATGGAGAGGCAGGGACAGGTCACAGGTAACGGAGACTCAGCCCCTGGGAGGGGACTGACCCTGCTACTGGCAGGGCACTGCGGGGAGGAAGCTCGCAGCCAGGGTGGCAGCGGGGCCCTGCGGCGCAGAAGCTCACCCGTTCTTGAAAGCGTTAGGACAGGGCTGAGGCAGGCAGCGGGGGTCCCCAGGCCCTGCCTGGCCCCTCGGGCTTCCAGCCTTGGCTATGGTGCTGTCCCATTGACTCCCCGTATAGGGGCCATGGCAAACCGTGGCCAGCTCCTCCAGCCCGTGAGCATCGGCGTGAGAACAGCACCCTCTTGTGGCCGCTCTGCCAAGTCCGTGTGCGGACGAGGCTTGTGGAATTCCCTCACTGAAGCAGGGCTTGGAAACGCACCAGAGTCAAAGCCCCCGAGGCTACTGGCTCTTTGCAGCCAGTTCTAGAGGCCTGATCGCCTGCCAGCTCCCCGCCGATCAGCCCCCTCCAGCCTCCAGGCCAGCCAGGAGATAGCATCACATTCTGCGGGTTACCGGATAGGGGGACCGCCAGCGGTGACCTGTGCCAAGCGGGTCGGGCTCAGCCCGGTTCCCGGGGGATGGATGTCCACGTACAAACAGCCCCCACGCTGGGCACTAACCAGACCCCTTACTGGCGACCCAAGAGGGGCCCGAGGACTGAATGGGGCTGGGGCCCCAACCCCCCTCGCCCTAGAGGCGTCGCTGCAGGGCCGGCCGGGGTAGGTGGCCCACCCAGCACCCGCCCACGCGGGACACCCAGGGAGCAGTGGAAAGCCCCTGCTACGCGACTGAGAATCCACAGCATGCCCAGACCTGGATCCAGGATGGGCTGGGAGCCTGCCTGGGGTGGGAACAGACCCTGAACTTCCCCTTGTCTCTCCTCGGCCCCAGGCTGGGGAGATCTGCTCAGGGAACGGGTCAGTGACGGGCCCTGGGGCTGGATCCGAGCTGGGGAGCGCGTTGCACCCACAGGCCCAGCGACTAGCTGGCCCAGAGGCCTGCGCCTGACACCGCTGTCCTTTGTCTCCTCCCAGGGCCGGACCCGAGGGCAGGGGCCCAGCAGCTGTTCCTGCCGGGGAGCCATCATCTGTGCGGGGTCACCATGCAGCGCACCGGGTCCCCCATCACCACGGAGACCGACATCGACCTCACCGCCGCGCTGCTGCCTTCGGGGGGGACGCGGAGCCATCAGCACGCCATCAAGACGGCCGTCAGCGAGACGGGGGCGCTGCCCGCACCGGGCTACGAGGGTCCCCCCCCTCCCACCGGCTGCCGCTGCTGTGGCCTCGCTAAGCTGCAGACGGGAGCCCAGCCCGGTGCCGGCTGCCGGCTCTGGAACACCCCCTACCCCAAGCTGCCCCCGGGGACCTGCCCGGGAAAGGGCTTTGGCCAGTCCACCCTGCCGTTCAGCTTCGGGACCAACTCTGCGCCCCCTCACCGAGACCCCCGCCTGACCCTGCAGCACGGCAAGCTGCCCGCCGGGACGGCCAGGCTGGGCAGCGGGCCTGGGGGAGAGCCAGGGAGGTGCAGGGGCCTCAAAGTCCTGGATCTAGAGCTCTGGGAAGGCCCAGAGACCAAGCCAGGGCTGGAGGACGGGACGGCTCCCCCCTTGGCCTTGGAGAAGCCCCCCATCCCAGAAGACTGCTCCCCCTGGGCTGAAGCTCGGCTCTGCTCCATGCAGCCGGGACGGGATGTGTCTCCGCCCGAGAGTCACCGTGTTCTCCAGGAAGAGCAGGGCTGTACAGGCGTCCCTCCCAGCGCAGCTCTCGGCCTCTCGGCGGGCAGGGCGGGCGCACGCCGGGCCGAGGGCACAGGCCGTGGGCTTGACCCCATGGCGTCGGAACCGGCAGCCGAGCCGCGGTGGGACGGCAGCATCGCGCTGAGCGAGGGTGCGAGGGAGCCGGTGATCAGCCGGGAAGGGGCACGGGACATCCCCCATCCTGCGGGGAGCGGGCTGGCCCCGGGCGCCCCCCCTGAGCCAGACCCCGTCTCAGCACACCCACCGGGAGAGGAGCTGCTGCCGGAACGTCCTGGCGGGACAGAGGAGGGCGCGGTTACGAGACGGCCCCGGGGCACCGAGCTGGGGAGGCGGCCGGGCACCGGCAGTTCTGTTTGCTCGGTCAGCCCGGACCGTCAGAGCAGCAAGCCCGTCTCCCAGGAGCCGGCCAGCCAGGCCCAGAGAATCGGGGACCTGGGGCCCGCGGGTGCGAGTGCTCCCACTAAGATGTCCGTGGAGGACGCCTACGGGAGGCTCACCAAGGCCTGTGGCCTGTCCCTCCTGGAGAAGCTGAGACGGACGTTCCTGGACGTTGAGGGCGGCTGCTTCTCGCTCCTGGATTCCGGCCTGGTCTTGGGGCGAGTGGAGGAGCACCCGGCGCTGGGGCTGGCCGTGCTGCCCATGGTGAGTGCCGACAGCTCGCCGGCAGGTGCCCGTCTCGGGAGTCACTGCTGCCCGGCAGGGAGCTGAGCGAGCGAGGAACCTGTCTCAGGTTCAGCCCCTCTCCCACGTGCCCACAGCCGGCTGCTGCCCTGTGTCCCCGAACCTGCTAGTAACTGTGACCCCCAGTAGGGGTTCTTTGCCAGGGCATCCCCTACTGCTATGGGGGGTGGGGGTCTTGGCTAAATGGGAGGGGTCCTGTTATGGAAAAAGTTGAGAACCCCAGGATTACAGGAGTGTCCCAAATGTGCCAGGTGCGGTACACAGCTAGGCAAGGACAGTCCTTGATTCAGTGAGATTATTGGTTTGAAGCCCCCACCCCCCATCCGGCTATCCCAGCCCTATACTCCCCCCGCTCCACAGCTCTGCGATACCCTTTGATCCCGACCCACAGCCTCCCTCTCCCCCTCCTCACCGGTGCCCCCATCCCAACCCACAGCCCCCGGCAATTCTAGTCCTGCACTTTTTTAAAGGCAGCCTGCTGCTCACGCCAAGCCTCCAACCGGTTTCCCTGATGGTCCCGAAGAGCAGCTAGCCAGCTCCCTCCACTCGATCACTGCCCTGTTCTCGCCATTCCCTCTGGAGCAGCTGGTGCCGGCCGCGGTCAGGGTACTGAGGACAGGACACTGGGCTAGATGGACCGTTGGTCTGACCCAGCCTGGCAGCTCCTATGTCCTTACCCCCGTTGTTTCCCCTTGAGCTTGAGCCAGCGTTTGCACATAGCACTCTGGGTGTGGACAGGCAGGGCGGTAACCCGCCCTCTGAGACGCTCTCCAGCCCCAGAGCTCCTGGGCCCTCCGCAGTTCTTCACTCTGGTTAATGCCCCTTTCCACAGAGACTCACACCACAGCTGCTGATCAATGGAATACCTGTGTTAGCAGGATTAACCCACAGGTGAGCCGGGCTCTGGCTGTGTATTTGCCAGTGCCCAGGTGAGCTCGGGCCTGGTCTGCCAGCATTACACCTATGACCCACAGTCAGGCCAAATCCCCATAATGCACCTGGTTAACTGTACAGCTGCTGTCAAAATTCCTTCCTGACCCTGCAGGTTTATGCCCTGAAGCCTGATCTCTCCGTGAGGTTCACGTACCTCTAGGCGGCTTGATGCAAGGCCCTCCCTGGTGGTTCCCGGCTACCTTGTGTTTCCTTTCACCCCCAAAGGTCATGTCAGGCGCTTGACTTGGTACCGCATGATATTTTGCTGAAAAAACTAGCACGCTATCAAATTAACATGGCCACAGGACATGGATTAATCACTGGCTGATGGGTCTCAAAATGTAAACGGGGAATCATCATTGAGCGGGGGTGTTTCTGGAGGAATCCCGCCACGGTCGGTTCTTGGCCCTACACCTCTTACCATTCTGATCAGTCACCTGGAAGGAAACCGAAAATCTTCCCTGGTAACGTTTGCAGACAACACACACGAACTGGGGGAGTGGGAAGTAATGGAGAGGACAGGTCCCTGACACAGGGCGAGCTGGGTATAAGCAAACAATATGTATTTGAATGTGGCTAAATGTCGACATCTAGGAACGGAGAATGCAGCCAGCTGTAGGGGTTGGGGGTGGGGGTCGCTATCCTGGCAAATGCCATCCAGTCTATATGGTGGACTTGCTCTTTCAGAAAGCTTTTAACAAGGCTCTTAAGCAAAGTAAACTGTCGTGGGCTAAGATGGAAGACCCTCTCATCGCTCAGTGACTGGTTAAAAGATAGGAAACAAAGGGTAGGAATAAATGGTCAGTTTTCAAACTGGAGAGAGGTAAATAGTGGTGTCCCCCCTTCTGTCCTGCGCCCAGTCCTATTCAGCATATTCATAAATGATCTGGAAAAAGGGGTAAACAGTGAGGTGGCAAAATTTGCAGATGGTACAAAACTACTCAAGGTAGTTAAGTCCCAGGCAGACTGCGAAGAGCTACAAAAGGCTATCTCAAACCTGGGTGACTAGGCAACAAAATGGCAGATGAAATTCAATGTTGATAAATGCAAAGTGATGCACATCGGAAAACATCATCCCAATTATACATGTAAAATGATGGGGTCTAAATTAGGTGTTACCACTCAAGAAAGAGACCTTGGAGTCCTTGTGGATAGTTCTCTGAAAACATCCACTCAGTGTGCAGCGGCATCAAAAAAGCAACCAGAATGTTGGGAATCGTTAGGAAAGGGATAGATAATCAGACAGAGACTATCATATTGCCTCTGTATAAATCCCTGGTACACCCACAGCTTGAATACTGCAGGCAAATGTGGTCACCCCATCTCAAAAAAATTATATTGGAATTTGAAAAGGTTCAGAAAAGGGCAACAAAAATGGTGAGGGGTCTGGAACGGCTGCCGTATGAGGAGAGATTAATAAGACTGGGATTGTTCAATTTGGAAAAAAGACGACTAAGGGGGGATATGATAGAGGGCTATAAAATCATGACTGGTGTAGAGAAAGTAAATAAGGAAGTGTTATTTATTCCTTCTCATAACACAAGAACTAGGGGTCACCCAATGAAATTAACAGGCAGCAGGTTTAAAACAAATAAAAGGAAGTATTTCTTCATACAATGCACAGTCAATCTGTGGAACTCCTTGCCAGAGGATGTTGTGAAGGCCAAAACTATAACAGGGTTTAAAAAACAACTAGATAAGTTCATGGAGGATAGGTCCATCAATGGCTATTAGCCAGGATGGTCAGGGATGGTGTCCCTAGCCTCTGTTTGCCAGAAGCTGGGAATGGGCGACAGGGGATGGATCACTGGATGATTCCCTGTTCTGTTCATTCCCTCTGGGGCACCTGCCACTGGCCACTGTCGGCAGACAGGATACTGGGCTAGATGGACCTTGGATCTGACCCAGTCTGGCCGTTCTTATGTTAATTAAAATGCCTTTTCCTTTACAGCGGGATGGGCGGAAGCTGGCCACGACCCTGCCCAACTCCAGCCTCTTCCTGTACTATGCTCTGGGCCGCCAGTTCTATGTCACGGAGAAGCTGGCAGATCGCTGGTTCCGAGCGCGGGACCGGGTCACCGGGGAAAGCATGCTGATGAAAAAGGTACGTGGCCAAGGAACTGCCCAGTCCAGAGCCCCAGAGAGCCCTGGAGAGGGGGCCTGGGCTGGGCCCGCTCTGGCCAGCCGGGGACAGTCCCACGTTGGCCTCTGCGGGGCTGCGTGGTGGGAGGAGAACTGGGAGAGCGGCCCACGGTGAGCGATGAGGACATTACATGGCTCTAATGCACTGTCATTCGACAACCTCCTGGCTCCTGCTTCCCGGGAAGGGGTCCCCCCTCACTGGCTGTGAATCTGATGGTCCTGAAAATTAAAAATGAACCAAATGTTGCAGCAGCTGAAAATGGAGTGGAAGGTCCTGGAGCTGGGAACATCCCCCAGCTCTGCCGGTGCCCCTCACTCCTGACCCACAGCCCCCTTCTAGCCCAGCTCTGGGCTCCCCCCAGCTCTGCCGGTGCCCCTCACTCCTGACCCTCAGCCCCCGGGGCTATGAGAGGGAGCCAGGGGCAGGAATAGCAGTGGGGCCCATCCAGCCCAGCACTAACCATTAGGCCATTGGGTTGATCGTGGGTTAGGGCGACACAGAGTGTCTGAGCCTCTCCTCAGCACCTCCCAGGGCCTGAGCCACACGGACCCCCCGCGCCGTCTCTGCTCCCCATCCCCAGGGAGCGCTGAGCTTTAATCACCGGCTCCTCCAAGCATTTCAATGGTTAATCACACCTGCCTGGCACCCGGCGCAGCACGGGAGACCTGGGAGGACACCAGGAGCTGTGTGGGGGGGAGAGGGGGCGTCAGCGGGTTTTGCATGTTAATAGCAGAGCTTAATATTCATGAGTAAATATTTGCAGGAGCTAATGGGGTGGCGGCCGGGCGGGCGTAACGAGCGTGCTCCCCCCGCCGGTGCAGGCGGGGAAATGAATCTGAATTTATCATGATTAGGTCAATCCAGCAGGGAGCGTGGGGGCTGGCGGAGGGAGGGGGAAGATGGATCTGTGCAATAAAATTAAATAAGGAAGCCAAATGGAGCCACTTCTCTTATCTGCAGCGCGCAGCGGTTCCTCTCTCCTCCTCTCCCTCCTCCTGCTTTGCTGATTTCTCTCTTTCCTCAAATTTATGAGGCCAATTATGAAGATGAGGTTGGAAGTTCTCGGAACTTCACTAAATGCAAAGTGTGGTCCCTGCTGTTCCCATCAAATTAATTAACCGAGCTCTATTGATGGCCGTCGACAGCGGCCTCTGGAAACCGGCACCAGATTTAGCTCCGGGGAAGAGCCAGCTTCGGCTTTTCCGGGCTCGCAACGGCTCAGCCAGACCTGGCAGCTGACCCCAGGGCCCGGCCCAAACGAGGGGGTCGGAGTGGGGTGTCCTCGGTCCAGAGCCGAGGCGTGTTTGGGGAGGGAAAGGCCAGGAATGGGCATTTGCACCCCTGTTCTCAGGGCTGTAGGGAATGCAGACAGAGACGGGCTCCCTGCCCCGAGGAGCCTGCAAACCACACACCTCTGTGTATCCTGGAGGTCGGCAGTCAGGGGTTGTGACGGGGGAGCCCAGGGCTGCGGGTTGGGAGTGAGGGGCCCCATCAGAGCTGTGGTGGGGGAAGGCCAGGGCTGGGCTGGCAGGGGCTGCGGGTCGGGAGTGAGGGGCCCCGGCAGAGCACGGGGAGGGGGGAGCCCAGGGCTGGGCTGGCAGGGGCTGCGGGTCCGGAGTGAGGGGCCCCGGCAGAGCTGTGGGGGGGGGGGGAGCCCGGGACTGAGGGGCCCCAGCTGATGCTGGTTGGGGCCCAGGACACAGCCTCAGCTTCTCCTCTGTTTGCCAGGTGCCCGTGGTCTCCGACTGGAGGAAGATGTTACACAATTTCCTGTTCCTGCCCCCTCACCCCAGGCTGCTGGTGCCCTACGCTGTCCTGTATGACCGCAACGGCTCCATCCTCTACCTCATGGAGGACAGGGACGTGCACGGTGAGCGCCCGGCTGGGCACGGGGGGGTTAGCCGGGGGCAGCCCGTGGGCGCCCGCGGGGCACCAGGCTGCAGCGGAGAGGTTCCCGCCGGCGTCCCGTTAATAGAGGGGCGGGAGGCAGGCGAGCGCCGAGATCCCCAGCCCCTGGCCCAGGTCAGGCTGGAATAGCCTTGGGGAGGCCCTGGCCCGTCTGCCCCCCAGCCCGGCCAGGGTCTGGCTCTGGAAAAGCCTGAAACGCCGGAGAGGCAAGCGAGGGCCTGAGTGCCTAGTGGCTCCCAGAGGCGGGATATGGGCTAGTGGGCCCCCCTGGGCTCCCAGGCGTGCGGGGCAGGATCCCAGCCGAGTGGCGCGTCTCTGGGCAGCCCCTTTCCTCCTGCAGGTTGCCCAGTGCCAGCGGCTCCCTAGAGGGCCCTGGGGCTGGGAGCTGGGGCTGGTTGGTCCTGCTGGGTCACCTGCGGCATTTCTGGTCCCCGAGTCTGACCCGTGGGTGCTGGCCGGGCACGTTCTCTGGTGGCCGCTGGCAGCTGCCTGGTCCCAGGAGAGGGAGGGTCGTTCTCTGGGACGGTCGCCCTGGGGCTGCAGGGTCCCGGTCGCTGATCTGTCTCCTCTGCCCTCCTCAGCTGTGGGGCGGCCACCCGAGGGGCCCAGCCTGCAGGGAGCTCGAGCCCTGCAGCAGGTGCTGAGCTTCCTGAGCTTCTGCAAACGCCACCACTTCCACCCCGGGGACGTCGGCGCGGCCTCGATCTACACGGCCCAGGTGGGGCCCACTCTCTGCCGGGGCCGTCACACCCGCTGCTCTCTGTGCAGGGGGCTTGCCACAGCCCATCCCCCGGCTCCTTCCCCTGCAGCAGGGGGCGCTGTGCTGCAGGAGGGGTTGGGGGGCTCCCCAGGGGGCGCCGTGCTGCTGGAGATGGGTGGATGGGCTGCCTTGGGGGCGCTGGTCTGCAGGGGGGGCTCTCTGGGGCACACTGTACTGTGGGGGGCAGGTGGGGGGGACTCTCTAGGGGGCACTGCGCTCTGGGGGGTGGGGCTCCCTAGGGGGTGCTGTGCTGTGGAGGGCAGGCGGGGGGCTCCCTAGGGGGCGCTGTGTTGCAGGGTGGTGGGCGGGGGCTCCCTGAGGGGTGCTGTGCTGCCAGGGGGCAGGAGGGGGGCTCTCTAGGGGGCACTGTGCTCTGGGGGGTGGGGCTCTCTAGGGGCGCTGTGCTGCGGGGGGCAGGCGGGGGGCTCTCTAGGGGGCACTGTGCTGCAGGGGGCAGGTGGGGGGGACTCTCTAGGGGGCACTGCGCTCTGGGGGGTGGGGCTCCCTAGGGGGTGCTGTGCTGTGGAGGGCAGGCGGGGGGCTTCCTAGGGGTCGCTGTGCTGCAGGGTGGTGGGCGGGGCTCCCTGAGGGGTGCTGTCTGCCAGGGGGCAGGAGGGGGCTCTCTAGGGGCACTGTGCTCTGGGGGTGGGGCTCTCTAGGGGCGCTGTGCTGCGGGGGCAGGCGGGGGCTTCTAGGGGGCACTGTGCTGCAGGGGCAGGTGGGGGCTCTCTAGGGGGCACTGTGCTGCAGGGGGCAGGTGGGGGGACTCTCTAGGGGGCACTGCGCTCTGGGGGTGGGGCTCCCTAGGGGTGCTGTGCTGTGGAGGGCAGGCGGGGGCTCCCTAGGGGTCGCTGTGTTGCAGGGTGGTGGGCGGGGGCTCCCTGAGGGGTGCTGTACTGCCAGGGGGCAGGAGGGGGGGCTCTCTAGGGGGCACTGTGCTCTGGGGGGTGGGGCTCTCTAGGGGCGCTGTGCTGCGGGGGGCAGGCGGGGGGCTCTCTAGGGGGCACTGTGCTGCAGGGGGCAGGTGGGGGGCTCTCTAGGGGGCACTGTGCTGCAGGGGGCAGGTGGGGGGGACTCTCTAGGGGGCACTGCGCTCTGGGGGGTGGGGCTCCCTAGGGGGTGCTGTGCTGTGGAGGGCAGGCGGGGGGCTCCCTAGGGGTCGCTGTGTTGCAGGGTGGTGGGCGGGGGCTCCCTGAGGGGTGCTGTGCTGCCAGGGGGCAGGAGGGGGGGACTCTCTAGGGGGCACTGCGCTCTGGGGGGTGGGGCTCTCTAGGGGGTGCTGTGCTGTGGGGGGCAGGCGGGGGGGCTCCCTGGGGGGTCCTGTGCTGCCGGGGGCAGGCGGGGGGGCTCTCTAGGGGGCGCTGTGCTGTGGAGGGCAGGCAGGGGGCTCTCTAGGGGGCACTGTGCTGCCAGGGGGCAGGTGGGGGGGGCTCTCTAGGGGGCACTGTGCTCTGGGGGGTGGGGCTCTCTAGGGGGCGCTGTGCTGTGGAGGGCAGGCAGGGGGCTCTCTAGGGGGCACTGTGCTGCCAGGGGGCAGGTAGGGGGGGCTCTCTAGGGGGCACTGTGCTCTGGGGGGTGGGGCTCTCTAGGGGAGCTGTGCTGTGGGGGGCAGATGGGGGGCTCTCCAGGTGGCGCTGTGCTGTGGAGGGCAGGCGGGGGGCTCTCTAGGGGGCTCTGTGCTGCAGGGGGCAGGCGGGGGGCTCTCTAGGGGTGCTGTGCTGGGGGGGCAGGCAGGGGACTCCCTGAGGAGTGCTTTGCCGCAGGGAATAGCGCGGGGGGCTCAGAGCTATGATCTGTTGCCCAGGGCCATGGTGGTGGAGCCGGGGTGACTGGGAGAGGGGGGCAGGTTCGCGTGGGGTTTCACCTCCTCCCCACACTCGTGTCTTGCCTCCAGGGCGTCTGCTTTGACCCCAGCAGCCTGTCCAGCAGCGAGGACCCCTACGCCTTCCGGAAGAGCATGAAAACCTGCCTGCGCCCGCTGCTGGCCCAGCACCAGGTAAGCCGGGCACGGGGGGGCGGCTGCCAGGGCTAGGACTGGGCGGCCGGGGGACTGGTGGGATGGCTCAGGCTGGGGGACGGTCTCCCGAAGGGACTGGGGGGGGGCTCGGGAAGGGCAGGGGACAGGAGCAGGCGGTGGGGGTGGCTGAGCTCAGTGAACCCCCCCCCCCCGCCCCGACGGGGCAGAGCAGGGCCCTCCCGTGCTGGTAACTCACCCCCCGTCTGGGTCTCCGCAGGGGCTCGCGGGCCTGGACTCCCTGGTGGACAGCATGTGCCAGCACCTGGAGGAGGAGGAGAGTCCGGAGCCCAGCGACACGCCGAGCAGCTACGCCCCTGGGGCCAGCCCCAAGTGAGCAGAGCCCAGGCCCCGCAGCTGCCCCCCTCCGGAGATGAGCACGTCCCTGGGATGCCTGGAGGCAGAGCGCTGGGATCCAGCTGTGGACGCTGCTGGCAGGGGCATCCCAGGGTGGGTGGGTGCACCGGGGGGGGCAGGCGCTGGGTGTGGGGGTTGGCACCGGTAGCCCTGCTCTGGGCTGGGCCATCGATGAATTCAGCGAGGTGAGAGGAATGACACGGATTGCAGTGGGGCGCCGAGGGGATTTGTGCTGGCCCCTTGGCTGCAGGAGCCCCACAAACCCTGCAGATGGGCCCCGACTCCCCCGGCTCATCGGCAAACCCCCCAGCCCTGGCCAAGGACCCGCGGAACGCTCCAGCATCCCTGTTCCCAAAGAAGGCAGGCCTGGGACCCGAGAGCGCCTGGCTCCACCTGTGGCCTTCACCTTTCTCGTCACCTCGGTTGTGCCTCAGTTTCCCCATCCCCGCCCTGTGGAGAATGCTGCTTTCCTACCTGCGAGGAGCCGAAGGGTTGTGAGGGGGGGCTGAGGTCCCCCCTGCCAAGTGCCTTCAGGATGCAGAGCCCCTTGGGTGGCCCCAGTAATTAGCACAAGGTAACGAGGCTCAGTGTAAGATCAGGGGAAACGGACAGGCTCGCAGGCTGGCCGGCCGGGGACTTAGGGCAATGGGCAGGTGCTTCAAGGACCCACTTTTATAATCATGCATCCCAACCTCTGTAATAAGTGTATCCTTCTGCAACAGAAAATAGTCCTTGGACATACATATATTTTGGCTGAACCCTCTGATAGCTTCCCTTTTTGAGGAGTGGCCCGTCCCGTGAACGGGGACTTCACCGTTCTTCCCGTGGGCGCGTTGCACGGCGGTGCCCTCTGCGCTGGGGTTGGTGCCGCGGCGGCCGTTCTCCGAGACGTGCGTTTTGCCGGCACTTGTTATTTAAAGGGAGGGGGCTGAGGTCGGGGCTGTGTCTACACTGGCAGCGTCCACTGGTGCCCCGGCAGCCTGGGCACGTCGCACGGCGCCGGGATGGGCTCGCCCCTCGCTGTGGTAAATAGACCGGGGCAGGAGGCGCGAGCTCTGCCCATGGAGGAATTCTTCTATCAACCCCGGGGTGTCTCTGCCGGGGCTTAGCTCGGTGAACTGCAGCGCTCGGAGAGGGATGATTTTCACAGCCCTGAGCGATGGCGTTGGGCCAGCCTGACTCAGTGTTCCCACCCTTAGTGAAAATTTTTCCTAATAGCCAATCTAAACCTCCCCACTCGGCCTTACCCTCGTTCTGCTCTGACTGAGAAGAGTCTAGAGCCATCCTCTTTGGCCCCCTTCAGGTAATCGAACCCCCCCTCTTCTTTTTTTCAAAAAACCCCCCCCCACCCCCCCCCAACCATTTTCCAGGACCCCTAAGACACGGGCTGCGGGTTCCTAGCGGGGTTAGCGGGCGGGGCATGGGCGAGGTTTTCTCCGCCCAGAGCTTGTGGGTGAAATTCACCCCAGTGCCAGGGCCTAGCACAAGCCTGGTATGCCAGCGAAGACCCACGTCAGTCTCTCGCTTTCAGCGGCGCTACGTGGGGGGTGGGAGGGCAGCAGAATCTGGTCCGGTGATGTGGGGCCTGAACCAGCTGCAGGAAACGTCAGTTCCGTTCCTGGCACTGCTGCTGCTCTGGGGAAGTCATGACGCTGCTCTGTGCCTCAGTTTCCCTTCCCACCCCTTGTCTTGTCTGTTTAGATGGGGAGGGCTAGGGCCTGTATCTCTCTAGGGGACTGGGCAGCGCCTGTCACAATTGGACCTTGAGCCCTCTGGGAGCCTCTCACAAATTCAAAAACGAGCTCTCCCTAGCTAAGGGCGAGCAGTGGGGAACTGGGGAAGGGGCCCGGGCTTGGGACCTGATCTAGAGCGAGCGGGGGCCTGACCAGCCCGCTGGGCTGTTTCCGGGCAGCATGTGGGGTTGGTTTCCAGCCCGCTGGCCGGGGCTGGGATTAGCTGACGCCGGTGTAGACACCCTTCATGGGAGGAAATCCCAGCCCCCGAAGGGCTCTCTGATCTCACAGACAAAGGCAGAGCTTCAAGAACCAGGGGCTGGGAGCCGAAGTCAGACCCTTCAAATGGGAAAGAAGGCCCACGTTTCTAACAGGGGCTGCTCCGCCGCTGAACAAACCGCCATGGGAAGTGCTGGGTTCAGAGCCTGCCAGAAGTGTAAAGGGCTCAAAGAAGAATTAGCCAAGGTCCTGGAGGACGGGTCCATCGATGGCTATTAGCCAGGATGGGCAGGGACGCAGCCCCGTGCTCTGGCTGTCCCTGGCCTCTGGCCACTGGAAGGGGACGATGGGGGGGGGGGGCGGATCTCATCCTAATTTCCCTGTTCTGCTCACTGTGAAGCTGCATCCCCTGTCAGAGGCAGGTTACTGGACGAGATGGTCTGACCCAGTCCGGCAGCCCTTGGGGTTTTAGTACCTGGCCGTTAGCCCCACCCCTCTACCCGCTGACCCCTTCCACAGCAGCACGCTGACCGGATGAGAGCTCGTGGACTCAGCCAGCTCCCCCGGCGGCCTGCATGTGCCCTTGGCTTCCCTCTGTGCTCAGTCGCTCACCTAGGGTGACCAGACAGCAAATGTGAAAAATCGGGACGGGGTGGGGGGTAATAGGAGCCTATATAAGAAAAAGACCCAAAAATCAGGACTGTCCCTATAAAATCGGGACATCTGGTCCGCGTACACTCACCCCTCAGGGACACACAGAGCACAGGCCCTGGGTAGAGGGGAACTGCTGGTCTCGGGATGCCTGTTTCTACGTACCTGATCCAAAGCCCAGTGAAGTGGTACGGCAGGCAGGGCATAGGGCACTGGCTGGGGCTTTCAAAGCTGCCCGTCTTCCCATGGGTTTTGGCACCTAATTCTCCAGGTCCAGTTAGCCGCCGGGGGAGGTTCCCAGACCCATTCATCAGCTGTCTGTCTCTCGCGGCATTTCCCAATTTTGCTTTTCTTTCCCGGCTCGAACTCGGCCCCGGTGATCAATGGTTTCTCATTTCGCTGGCAAGCGGCACAAACAGAAGCATTTACAAACCCGCTGTCTTTCCAACAGGGCCATAACTCAGGCCTCAGCCAGCCCGGGAAATGGAGACCGGCCGCTGCAGCAGCAGTATTTCCGGCTCCTGGTAAATGTGTTACTTGGGGATAATTTCCCTGCCCACGCCAAGTTTTGAAAAGAAATAGACCGGCGTCTATAAATTGCTCATGTGTGCATGGCTGAGTGTCTGGAGTCTGTGTCTGTACCCGCATGTCGCCACCCCCCTAAAATCCAGGCCCAGATGGCTGGTCCCAGCTGCTAGAGGAAGGTGTAGGAACACCACAGCAACGGCTGTGCACGATTCTGCCCCCTCTGGGTCTCGTCCTGGTCTCTAATCGTAACCCCAGAAGCAGGAGGTTAACCTGTTTCTTTCCATCGCCTGTATTTCTGTGGCTGGGACTGGCCGGTTATTGCAACATATTTAGAGCAACTGCTGCAAATCCCACAGCCCTGTCTGGCTTCCTACCAGTGACGGCCATACGATCCCACGCAGTGTGTGTATTAAAACCAAAGGAGAGGAGAGTCCGGGCCCCCGTCTGCCCCGATGGCCATGTTCATAAAAGGTTAATGGGTCCCATGAGGGCGGTCGCTGAGCCGCGAAGAGGTCAGGCTGGCCGGAGCTGTTGTTTTCGGCACTGGGCTGGCGGTCAGCCGTGGCCATGGGGTGGCCGAGTTCACGCTGTCAGGCATTTACCACCAGCGCATGTGCCCCCAACCCGCTCCCGCACCTGGCCCTCTGAGGCAGACACCCGCCTGCCTCGCTGAGCCCCGCTGCCCAAGCTGCAGTGGGACTGTCTAGTGTGCAAAGCAGGGAGAGCTGGGGAGGCCAGGCAGCCACGCCCGGCGGGTGAGGTGCTGGTGTAGCGCCTTTGTCATGAGATCTGGGCTGGAAACAAGGCATCGTTTCTGAGCAGTGAGTGTGAGGGTGATCAACCACGGCACAATCTACCCAGGGGCATGGTGGGTTCGCCATCACGGGCAAGTTTTCAATCCCGATTGGCTGTTTTCTAAGATCTGCTCCAGGGATTTTGGGGGCAGTCCCATGGCCGGTGGCCCATCTGGTGTTGGACCCTATGCTTCTAGCACCATCCTTGCAAGCTCCGGGGTTGCTCCCTACAAAGGACGCAGCCTGGGGCTTCATCCACCCACTCGTCATGATGCAGGCAATGGTGGTTCCCTTGGGAGCTGAGGCCACAGCCTATCAGGCCTCACCAGGTGTTTCCCAAGAGCAGATCGCCCTGTTCTTCATCCCACCCCCGTGACCCCCCTGGAGCACCTTAAAGGCTCCACCTCCTGCCTCGGTGTCGGCACCAGCCAGGCTAGAAAACAAGCTTACAGCCAGTCCCCCGCTTTGGCTGAGATCTGGTTCAAGGCTGGTCCTTGGTGGAGCCCTGGGTGGGCGCCAGGCAGCTGCCTGTATGTGGGTCTTTGCAGGGCCGGGGCTGTAAATTTCACTCGGTCCCCTCTTTGCCCCTTCCTTGTGCTCAGTTGCTTTTTTCTGGCTCCTGCCCGGAGGTGCTTGGAGCTGTACGCCCTGCTCCCAGCGTGGGCACAGAAGTGCTGCCTTTTCATATGCTGCCCAGAATTACTGACTTTTTTCTTTTACTGCCTTATTAACATGTGGCTTTAACACCACCACTGGGCACGGTGCTTTCCAGCCCCCACACGCAGGCCCCGCCCCGAGGCATTTACCAGCTCAGCTTAGCCAAGAGGGGGCACGAGAGAGGAGGCTTATAAAATACTCACAGGAGGGAAAGAGGCAACTCCCCGTCACCAGCCTCATCATATGCATCCAAGGGGGAGCAGCCCAGGAAATGGAAAGACAACATGGGAAAGGAAATGCTTTTTTAGCTCTACAATGGGTCATTAACCTGTGGAACTCATTGCCACCAGCTCTCAGCAAGAACCGAGTGGGATTCAGACCCGAACTGGGCACTTGGCTGGATAATAAGAGATGACGTGAAAGAGGATCAGAACTTAGCTGAGTGGTGATAAACCCTCCCCACTCGGCCAAGTGCACAGTGCTTGGGGTCAGGCTGTCACGTTTATATGGGATGGTTATTTCAGGTCTGTCCATTATGGAGGTTCTTGCACTGTCGTCTGAAGCATCCGGTGCCAGCCGCCATTGGAGACAGGATACCTGGCATGGGGGGTGGCAGGTCTGATGCCTTCCGGTGAGTCCTATGTTCCTAAAACAAAACGTGTGTTATTCCACTGCAGAATTCAGCCCATCGGCTTTCTGCAGGTCCACAGGGCCAGGGTGAGCCAGATACCGGAACATGTGCATGGTTCTGATGCTCAGTTTCCTGCCTTTTAATTTCAAATACCCCTTTGATCTGCTCTTCTGGGGTAGGGGAAAAAGGGGACGGCTCAGTTTTCCTTCTATTGTCCTCATTGAGTTTGATGGATAAAAGATGTTTTTAAAAGCCCCTGCCCCACCTCATGCTCTGGGGTCATTGTCAGCTGCGGCACGCTTGCCAGCTGCTGTGAACGTCGGCTCACCTGGGAGGTAGCTGGGACCCCGTTGTGGAGGGGGAGTCGCTGGCGATTGAGCGCTGGACCCTTCTCCCACCCCCTCCCTGTAGCGTAATGGTCTGGCATGGGCCAGTTAACACCCCCACACCTCCCTGGGAGCCTGGCCCAAGGATTCGGTGAGAAACACGTGTGCAAATTTCCAGCCGGTCTTTAAAAGCCCAGGGCCCGATTCTCCATCGTCCTG